CCAGAGTTCCCTTTTGGTGGGTGCTAGCAAGTCCAGTAACCTGGTGGTTCTTCTATTCCTAGTCCAAATGCTGGTCCCGTGGGTTTGGAAGAAGAACAGGAATCTGGGGTGCTTAGCCTCCTACCTGGTCCCCTGGGCCCTATGCTGGTTCCTGTTGTACCTGATCCGGAACAGCTACTCCACTGGTCTCCCTGGCTCCTCTGGTTTCCTGGTCTCATTGGCGGGAGAGAAGATCTGGAGTCTGGGGTGCTTGGCTCCCGCCGGGATTGGGAGCTCTGTGTAGTTCCCAGGCAATCTGCAGGGAAGCCGGCCTGTTTACCTCCTGATAGCAGTTTTAATACATTTGCTTAACTTATAATTTAAATTGAATCTGGGGATCTTTTCCTAGTGGTCCTGAACTCCATAACACTCAGCATCTTCAATTACTCCAGTAAAGCAAAGGCTCACTTTAGTGCTTCTGTTATCTTGTTAGTCACAGCAGATTCTTCAGCCCCTGCTAAGAACACAGATTCCTACCTGAAAATATGCAGCAGTGTTGAGTGACGCTCAAACTTCTCTGGAACTTCCCATGCCAGGCTCCATCCTCTCCTTTCTTTCAACATTCGTATCATCCAAACTCCCGTAGAACTGCTCACTAAAATGTTAACATTCAGTGGCTTTTCTAACCCAAAATTCCCAAGTCCTTCCACAATTTTCCTCAAACCAACATGGCCATGTTGTCACAGCAACACCCCACAATCCTGCTACCAACTTGTGTCCTATTTAGGATTACTATTTCTGTGATGAAACATCATGACCAAAAGTAAATTGGGGAATATAGTATGGTTCTTTAGAGAAACAGAACTTAGAGAATGAATCTTTATACATTGAAAGTGGGTTTTGTAGAATGACTTCCAGACTTCCAGCTAATCCAATAATGACTAACTGTGATTGGAAAGTCCAAGAATCCAGTAGTTGTCTCAGTTCATAAGGCTGGATCTCTCAGCTGGTCTTCAGTTTATGCTGGAATCCCAAAGAAGTAGGCTCCGATGCTGGCAAGGTAAAGGCCAGCAGGTGAAATGCAAAAGCTTGTTTTCCATGCCCTAACACAGCAGTGTTTTCTCAATCTTCCTAATGCTGCTGCCCTTTAATACAGATCCTCATGTTGTGGTGACCCTCAACCATAAAATTATTTTTGTTGCTACTTCATAATTTTGCTACTGTTATGAATCATAATGTAAATATCTGTATTTTCCAAAGGGGTTGCAACCCATAGGTTGAGAACTGCTGTTATATAGGCTACCAGCAGAAGGTGAGGCCCACATTAAAGGTATCTCTTCCTACCTTAATATTTGGACCAAAGGCATGCATATTCCTACCTCAAAGGTTTGGACTAGAAGTGGATTGCTCTATCCACTTGAAACCAAACAAAACATCCTTCACAGGTGTGCTCTGTTGTTATTTAAGAAAAGTGGTGCTTGAGAGAAAGATGCCATGCGACAGGGTTCAAGCAGAGGGTTATTTTCATTAGGGAAAGGGATCACAAAATGGGGAAAGGGAAGTGGGGGAAGCGAGGGAACAGAGAGAGAGAGAGACAGAGACAGAGAGAGAGACAGAGAAACAGACAGACAGACAGACAGAGCCCTTTTAAAGTGAACATAGTGAATGTGCACAGGTGGTGCTCTTAGTGGCTGCAGCTGAGGGTGTATCCTGTCAGAACCCCAAGGTTACTTATCCTGGATTACTATCCATTTGAGGAAGCCAACACAGGAACTCAAACAAAGTAAGAACCTGGAGACAGGAGCTTATGCAGAAGCTATGGATTTTTTTTGTCTTACTGGTTTGCTCCCCATGACTTGCTCAGTCTGTTTTCTTAGAGAACCCAGGACCACCAGTCCGGGGATGGCACCATCCACAATGGCATGGGCCCTTTGGACTCTATTTCACTTTGACTTAAGGTCAGAGAGTTTTTGTTACCTGCCATTGTTCCTTCAAGACCAAACTGTAGAATGTTTGGCCTAAGATGTGGCTATTGTGTACCTTACCTTGACAACATGATTTCTTGTCAAAGATGTGAATACAACAAGATTCTTGGAAAAGGATGTGGTCATTACATGTCCTGCTTGAACAACAGAATACTTAACTCAGGAGAAAGTTACTCGATGTTTCAGGTATTGAGAAGGTAATTAACGCTTGCTTGTTCTTTGTATTTTGGTAAGGAAGTCTTTTGCATTCTTCCCCTCTTTGTATGGGGGTATTAAAAGACTGCAAAAAATAAACATGGGTGATCCAGTATTCATTGGATGCCCACCCCAATCTTATCTGTGTCTCCTGCCTATTCCTTTCCTCAACTCATAGTCTGCCCTCTCAGATACGAACACAGGCAACCAAAGCCTTCACAATCAATTACTTATTGAGAAAACACCCTACAGACTTGTCTATAGCCTGATCTTACAGACACCTTTTCTCACTTGAGGCCTACTCTCTGATAACTTTAGTTTGTGTCAACTTGACCTAAAACTTCTGGTGATAAAGCAAAAAGTAACCCTCTGATCTTCCCACTGTCTCAACTGAGAAATAATTTCATTGTGAATCAGTGTGCATGACATGAAAATGAACTCTTTACTGTCATGAGGTTTATAGCTGAGTCTCAGACATTAGCAATATAAACACACCTGAAATAGCAGTGTCCCCTTACTCCATGGTGTCAATCTGGCCTCTTTATTGCAGTGACCTCATTTTATATTCTCAGGAATATCTTTCTGATACCTTTGTGCTAACGGAAGAATCATTTCTGTGTTCTGAGATGGGGAGAGGAGTGAGGTTCAAGTAGAAATAACAACAAAATAAAACCCGTTTCTTTAAATACTGTCACACAGGAGCAAAGTCAAGAACAGAGAAGGAGCCAGGCGTGGCGGTGAAAGACCACAGAATGGGATGTATGGTTTAGCAACCTTAATTGCAGAAGGGTTGTAAACCCACAAAAGGCCAATTCCGGGCTGCTGACCACCTGTGACGAACTGACCAGGGAGTCAGAGATGGGCAAACAAGATTTGTGGGAAACAAGGAGATAACCACCATTTACTTAGGGAGACATGATTAACTCATACCAAGGTCTGAGGAATTTACAACAGGAAGACACCTACTTCCCCTGGTCAGTAGTCACGTACCTCCCGGTCACAAGATAGGGACCCCTCCCAAAGGCTTGTGGTTTTTGTATTTAAAAGCTGATTGTAACTGAACCTCGGGGCCAATCGGTCTAAAGCTGACCGAGAGGCCCATCTGCAGATGCCTAATTAAAGCCTCTTGCGTGTCGCATCAATTGGCGCGTGGACTCTTGATTCTTGGGGTGATGAATCCAGCTTGGGGACCCCTCCTCAATTCGGGGAACCCCAACAGTGGTGTACACCTTTAATCCCAGCACTGGGCAGCCAGAGGCAGGCAGATCTCTGTGAGTTCCAGGCCAGCCTGGTCTGCTGAGCTAGTTCCAGGACAGCCTCCAAAACTGTACACAGTGAAACCCTCTCTAGAAGAAGGAGGTATGGGGGAAGGAGAAGGAGGAGGAGGAGGAGGAGGAGGAGGAGGAGGAGGAGGAGGAGGAGGAGGAGGAGGAGGAGGAGGAGGAAGAGGAGGAGGAGGAGGAGGAGGAAGAGGAGGAGGAAGAGGAGGAGGAGAAGAAGAAGAAGAAGAAGAAGAAGAAGAAGAAGAAGAAGAAGAAGAAGAAGAAGAAGAAGAAGAAAGAAGACAGGAAGTTGAATATGGGAGATACAACCTAATATGGAGGGATCCTATGATGGGTAATGAGTCAGTAGTCAGTTCACATGCCAACCATACTGATCTCAACACTGATTTTTCTCCCACTGGGAGAGGATCAGGGAGGGAGCCAGAGAATACCCGGTGTTGAATGCTAACCTGAGTTTGAGGAAAAACCAGAGAGAAGCAGATGAAGCTCTGGTATAACTTCCTCAGAATTAAATTTTTTACACCGGTTAACGGATGAAAGTGTGGACAAGGGACTGTGGAGAGAGAAAAAGAGTTTCAGAGGGATTCTGGGGTTTATCTGCAGGTAATGAGAGAAGTGTTCCTTTGCCTACACACCAAACTGTGAACTCCACTGCACACACTGTTGTTCTTTTGTTTAAGACTAACATTAGAAGGCGCGAGATGGAACACGAGATACGAGAGTTACATCAACCATAGTTTATTACAGGGCAGGAGAGCCAGAGGGGGAGAAGAGAGAGGGACAAAGGGCAAGAGAGGAAGCAAGGGGAAACAGCAAAGAGCAAGAGGGCATAAGTGGGCTGGGGGGATGGGGGGTGGGGAGTGGGGGTGGTGGGGGTAGCGTCTGTCCTTTAAAGGGGTCCTTTGCACCTGTGTGCAGACTAGCTCTCATATAACCCTGGGCTGATCTCTCTCTCTCTCTCTCTCTCTCTCTCTCTCTCTCTCTCTCTCTCTCTCTCTCTCTCTCTCTCTCTCTCTCTCTCTCTCTCTCACACACACACACACACACACACACCGGTTTCTTCCTTATTGATTTATTTGTAGAAAACAGGCATTAAACCAAGACCTCTTCATGCGATGAAAGTGCTTTACCAGTAAGTAGCCCCCTCTCTATTCCGGTACTTTGTAATTTGGGACATAGACTTGTGATCCTCTGTCTCAAGCCGGGGAGTAGCTGAGAATGCAGAACATTTCCAGGAAACTTGGCCTGAAAAACAATCCCAAAGAGTTTGCTTCTCGCTCCGTTATTTTAAAATAAAATTGAGTCAATGTGAATTTTTTTCTCCTTCTGTAAGATTCTAGGTACACCTGAGCTTTTTAAGTGAGGCTATATTGGTCAGGGTAAGAAGTAAACCTAATGCACATTGCCGTCAAAAGCTGGACTCACATTCACTCAATGCCCTTTGTACATCTGGGGTTTTAAAAGCAGCCCGTGGGCAATACAGTTTACCTCTCCGGCCATAGGTTCCGGGCCGTCTTTCGCACAGACTTGTGGGAAATGTAGTCTCTCACCGTGACGTCAACGAGACAGAACTGTGCTGTCTGTGCTTCCGGGTTCATTCTGCATTTGTGTTTCTCCCAACTCTGCGTCTTTTTCAAAGTTGGCGGAGTGTGGCTTGTGCTCCGCGTTCGACATGGAGGTTGGTCAAGGGTGCAGCGTAGCCTTGCGGGCCCGAGGGCCTGTGCACCGGGGTGGGCAAGTCCGGCCTGGCGGGAGCCGTGGAGGGCTGGGTGGGAGGCGGGGAGAAGCTGACTTGGGCGAGCGGTGCTGCTGGCACTGGCTTGGTAGAAGTGCTGGGCGTGCGTGCAGATGGTGCGGGGACCCAGCAGGAGCCGGAGCCAGGGAGAGCCTACCTGCTTGTGCATGAACGGACAACGTGGAAGGTCCAGGAATACTGGAGCAGGGTGGCTTGGTCGCCTGCTTGTGCCTGAGGCGGTGGTGGGAGCTCACAGTCTAGCTTGGCTGGGTTAGCGAACTGCTGTCACCTCTCACATTGCTGTTGTCAGTTTTCTCAGAACATCTGGTCCCTCCTGTGCTTTATAGCCGGCCTAGGGGACTTGGTTTGAGTTGACAGAAGTCCCTAAAGCCCCTGGTCTCCTGGACAGAGAATTCTGCGGAGAGTTTGGCGTGTGGGATGTCAAAGTCTCCTTTTCTTCAGTTTTCAGGATGGCTCACTTTGGATAGGAGTCTCTTATGTAGACCCGCCTTGACCTGAATTCCCACACTCACGGGAGGCAGAAAAGTCCCATGAAGGGGACACTCTAAGCTTTACACGTTGCAACTGATCCTACATTGCAGGGTAAAAAAATGCTAGAAAGCATTACCACATCCAGTCCCAGCAGAGACTGCATGTGTCAACAATTTTGAACGCCTTTCCTGAAAGAAGACATTAGTTGGTGTGAGGATTGTTAATGGAGTGGCCTTTAATGTCTCTTGTACACCAGGCTGTCTACATTGCTCTCTCACGAACTGTTTTTCCATCCTTGTAGTGTCTAGAAACTGTGAAAACAGCAAGTCTGAGTTGTCTATACAGTTCTGGGGGGGCGGAGGGGTTGCCCGAGTATTTATTCAGTGTCAGAAAGACTAAAAGATTAAGTTGATCTGTGGCGATTTCTGTTCAGAGGGCTGCTCATCCTGGTCTTTTTTGCTTGTTTATTTTTCAAGACAAGAGTTTCTCTGTGTTACAGCTCTGGCTGTCCTGAAGCTCACTCTGTAGACCCAGGCTGGCTTTGAATTCACAGAGATCCAGCTGTCCCTGGCTCCGGAGTGCTGGGATTAATGGCATGCGCCATCACGCCTGACTTCACCCTGTCTTTTGTGCTGTTGTATATTTTGCCACACTTTACCATGTGTGGTGGTACACGACTTTAATGCGAGCACTCAGGAGACAGAGGCTGCCCAGGCTACACAAAGAAACCTTGTCTCAAAAAAAAAAAAAAGCATTTTGCCACACTTCAGTCAAATTGAGTATAGACACTGACTTGTAACATTAAAGTCTACTCCTAAGAATCACAGGCTTTAAACCACATTATCATAGACACTAATATTTTCTATGTATCATCTAACTATAGTTAAAATAACAGAGGCACTCCTAGTTTATGTCACTAATCAACAGGAAACTGGGAATATGCCAATTTACACTGTGTAAGGTGTGAAAAGGGCCTTTTCCTGTACTTGGAATCTTGTTTCTTACAATACAGAGGCGATACGGCAATATGCTCATTTATTCCATAGATCACACACATTTACAGTTTATATATATATATGTACACACACACACACACACACACACACACACACACTTGACGTATACCAAACAGACCTGTGATTGAAAAGGGAAAGCAGGTGTGTTCGGTGCCATATCCTGCCATCTCTGCATTTGGGAGGTGGAAGCAAGAAATCACTTGTTCGGGGCCACTCCCTGCTGCGTAGCAAATTCAAGACCAGGTATTCGACAGGAGATTGTCAATAACTTCTTTTTTGTTTCTCTAGCAGAGGAACATTGTTCATCCCCCAGCACAAACATGGTGGCTCCCAGTTCTCTGTAACTGTAGTTCTGGTGGAATTTCCAGTAGCACTGTGTTGTGCGCCAATATACAAGCTCGGAAACACTCATGCGGAAAAAATAACAATAAATAACTTTTAAAAATTAAACATCATGTGGCCTGGAAAGTCAGCTTAGGGGTTGAGAATACTTGTAATTCTGTTCCACATATGCATATAATGTATAGTGTATAATTTTTGGTGAGTATAAGATAATAAGATTTTATGGGGTTTTATCAAATAACCTTGGTGTTATTTGACCTCATCCACCCCCTCCTTCCTCTGTATTGGCCTCCCTCCCTCTTCCCCAGCTGAAACTGCCTCCAGTTTTTCCTTTTCCTACTTCAGACACCCCTCTCATGCCCCTCCCCACACGATCCCTATATACTTCCTGGTTCTGTGGTTTCTCCATGTTGTATACTCACATCTGAAGATTTGGAGCTAAGCAAGGACAAAACAGAACTCGTGGCATTTGTCATTCTGGGTCACCATAGTCTTTACTGAAAAGTTCTTGATGCATTCTTATTTACACCTGAAAAGTATTCCATGGTATTTATGTGTGACATTTTCATTATCCATTTGCCAGTTAAAGGAAATTGAGATTGCTCCTATTTCCCTGTTATTATGAATAGAGAGGCAACATGGTTGAGGCTGTAGAGACCTTTGGAGGATATGCCAAAGAGTGTTGTAACTGAACCATATGGTACGTGCATTCTTTTAGATTTTTGTGGATTCTCCATTCTGCCTTCCAGAGTTACTGTGCCAGTTTGCAATATCACCATTAGTGAGCGAGGGTTCGTTTTCTCCACAGCCTTGCCAGCATTGCTGCCAGTTGTTCTGTTGATCTTAGCCTTCCTGACTGTGGTAAGATGTAACCTTAAAGCTGTTTCAATCTGATTTCCCTAATAGTTAATGATGATGAACACTTTCTGAATTGTTTCTTAGCCATTTTACTTACTTCTACTGAGAACTCTGTTTAAATCCCTAGCTCCCCCCACCTTTTTAAAATTATGCATTTGTTTCTTTGACTCTTTGTTTTTTGAACTTTGTATATGCTGGGTATTAATTCACTGTCACATGTGTAAGTGGCAAAGATTCTCTTTCACCCTCCTAAGTTTTTAGTCTTATGAAGTCCCACCTATCAATTGTTGCTCCTATTCTTGGGAAAATGGAGTCCTGTTTAGAAAGTCCTTTTCTTGTAGGGTACTGCTAGAAGGTTTTGTGTTCAGGTTTCAAACTGAGGTTTGTAATTTTGTGCAGTGTGCGATACAGGTCTAGTTTCCTTCTTCTGTGTGTGAACATCTAGTTTTCCCAGCACCATTTTTTGAAGGTGTGATCTGTTCTCCATTTTTTTGCCTGTTTGTCAAATATAAGATGTCTCTAGTTATGAATAGTTATATTTGGATCTCCTGCTTTATAACTTTGAAAGGCATGCCTGTTTTGAGCCAGTACCATATTATTTTTATAACCATAGCTTTGTAGTATATCTTGAACTCTGGAATAGCTGTCTTACAGTATTCCTTTTGTTCAGGATTGCTTTTGCAATCCAAATGTATCCATATGCATTTTTGGATTATTTTTCTATTTCAGTGAAGAATGTTGTGGTATTTTTGGTTGGGACTACATTGAATCTGTACATTGCTATCTGTAGGATAGACATCTTTGCAATATTAATCCTACCAATCCATGAACATGGTATGTCTTTCCACTTTCTAGAGTCTGTATCTCTTTATTCAGAGATTTGAAGTTATCATTGTAGACATCTTTTACTTCCTTTATTAGCCTTACCCCAATATATTTTATTGTATTTGATGCTATTGTAAATGTGAGTTTGCCTGTGAACTCATTCTCAGAGTGTTTGTTTTTGGTATACAGAAAGGCTAGTGATTGTTTTAAGTTGATTTTGTAGTCTGTACTATGTTGAAATTGTTGATTGTTTCTAGAAGCTTTCTGGTAGAATTTTTGGGAACTTATATGCATAACATCATGTCATCTGCAGATAACAATAATTTGACTTCTTTTCTATTGTATCCTGTTGATTTTCTTTTTTTTTTCTTCATTGCTCCATCTAGTACTTCCAGCTGAAAAGGTTTTGGAATCGTGGGCATCCCTGTCTCATTCTTTATTTTAATGAGATTTCTTAGAGTTGCTTTGCTTCACTTAGGATAATGTTTTCTGAGGGTTTGCCATATGTAGCTTCATTATGTGGAGGTGTGTGCTTCTACTTACACTTCTATTCTGATGTTTCTATCATGAAAGCATGTTGGATTTTGTAAAAGGCTTCACCCTCCATCTATTGAGATTATCATATGATTTGTGTTTTTAAGTTCATTTATATGATTTATTATATTTATTGACTTATGTATGTTGAAACAACTGTTGTAACCCACCTTTGTGGGGCTTCAGTTGGATCTAGCCGACTTGACTGATTCCTACCTGAGATGGGGAGTGTGGACTGAGAATTAGCAGATAAAGATGCTAAGGAAAAGACATACAGAATAGAGTCACGAGGGCAATCCAGTGAATAATGAACATCCCAAGCTTATTCTTCAACTTTCTTAAATACCCCAACCAAAAAGGAGAACATGGCAACAGACTTCTATCAAGACACAAGGAAGAAACAGACTTCTTCCTTAATTCTCCAAACATTTGGTAACCAGGCCTTAGACTAAATTTCTCATTATCTGCTGGCCTTGAGGGTTAAGAGTAACCACACCTCAGAGCAAGTCTCTTGCTATTTAGATAAGACATCCACAACCAAGATCAAACATCCTACAGTAAGTAGCTATGCCTTAGACCTTTAGGTCTTATGACTTTAACCTTGGAAGAGTAAGGATAGCTTTGAACTAAGCCAAGATGAAGTGAAGCCATTTTTATGGCCCCCAACTAACAATCCTGAATTTCTAGGGTAAAAGCAACTAACGCCACCAGGACCATATGCCCAGGGTTGGTCCCACTAACAAGGAGGTTGGTTCTCCCACATCAATCATTAATCAAGAAAATGTGCCACAGGCTTTCCCAATGGCCAATCTGGTGGTGACATTTCCTCTATTTCAGTTTCCTCTTACTAAATGGTGTCAATTTGACAAAAGCTAACCAGCACAGCTGTCTAGGAGATTTGGTTAAAGAGTGGAATACTGTCTGTTATTTTCTTCAAATATTGTAGTTTGAAACATCTTTTTAAAATTGTTTTCTTTTGTCTCTGATTCTGATTGGTGTTTAGTTTTTGATTTTGTTTTATTGTTGTATTTAGAGAGAAGATCTCCTACAACCCAGTCTGCCTTTGAACCTCTTCTTCCCATGTAGTAGTGTTACTAGCTTATGTCCTATTGCTTCCCCTTCCCTTTTGGCAGTGTTTCATAAATCCTTTATGCCCTCTTCAGGGTTCTCTTTTTGGTCTGCCTTCACAGTCTTCTTGCTTGAGGAAGGCTTCCATGTTTGTTTAGACTTTCTTCCACGTGCTCTTGTCTGGGGTTGGTGTCCTGTATATATTTGGGCATTCAGTGTGTCATTTTAGGTTCCTCTGCTTTTCTTTTCCTATTGATTTCACTGTTGGTTTGTTGATATTCTTGCTTGTTTTACACCATTTTCTTGATTTGTCCGTCTGTATTCTCCTTCAGATACCATTGGTAGAGTCTTCAGGAAATTTGGGGGATGTTTTCTTCTTTTCTAATACATTTTTCCTTGTTTGGTTTATGCCTTATATTCTTTTTTAATAAGATCTAACTATGCAGCTGTATCTGGCATTGGACTCTCTATGTAGACCAGGGTAGCTTTGAGTTTACAGAGATCTGCCTACCTCCGCCTCCTGGGTACCAAGATTAAAGGTACACCACCATGCCCATGCCTTATAATTCTCTTTGATGTGTGGACTTTATTAATAACCATGACCTTTGCTGGGTGAGAATTTCTAGAGCTTCTTAAAGCTATCCCAAGAATATGTGTTGTCATTGACTTTGGACCTAACGTTCAAGTTCTAATGCTCTTCCCATTGACTTTTTGAGAGAGACAAGCCACAAGACCAAAACTGAGTGTCTGATCCACTCTTAACATTCCCAGGATGGAGCCAGAAATCTGGAGGCTATCCTTCAATTCCTGCCTTGGTAGTCTATATGTGACCAGGGTGTAAGCAAGTACATGATGGTGGCTTTTCCTACTGACTCCTGCTTTTTGCTAGGAATTGAACCGAGGTCTCACACATCTGAGCAAGTGTCTCTCCAATAAGCTGTATCCAGCCCTGTCCCTTTCTGTTTATGTACTGGTCTTCCATTTGTCATCTTCGGTGCTGCAACCAGCAACAGCTGGTGAATTCCTCCCAAAGGTTTATTTTGGCACACCCTAAGAAAAATATCTGGAGACTGTTCAGCTTAGTGCTGGAATTTTTTTCTAATCTGTTGTACTTTCAGTTATATCTCTATGTTGATTATTAATGGTTGTTGTAAAGGTTTAAAACCTGAATAATTAATATACACCACAGTATACTTTGCATTCTGTTTCAACACTGTGCATAAATCAGAAAAACCTGAGGTGGTTTGAATGAAAGTGGGCCCATAGTGTCATATCCTTGAATCTTTGCTCTTTATTGGTGAACAGTTTGGGAAGGATTAAGAGATATGGCCTTGTTGGAGCAGGTGTGTCATTGCGGCCAAGCTTCAGGTTTCAAAAGACTCCCATAATCCCCAATTTCCCTACCTTTCTGCTGGTTTTTCTTCAACTGGGACTGAAGAAGAGTGATTAACAAGAGATTAGTACCATTGTAGGGCGGTGGTGGTGCACGCCTTTAATCCCAGCACTCAGGAGGCAGAGGCAGGAGGATTTCTGTGAGATCAAGGCTAGCCTGGTCTACAGAGTGGGTTCCAGGACACCCAGGGCTGTTACACAGCTGAATCCTTTCTCAAAAACCAACCAAACAAAAAACTAACTAACCAAACAAACACAAAGACTAGCACAACTGACAAGAACCCATTACTTAACTGGAACAATTGATGTTTCATAGTTAAGAGTGAGAAATCAGCTGTGATTAAAGATAGACCAGATTCACTGAGGCACTCCCTCCTGGCATCAGTGCACTGAGCTATGGTCTGGAGGAAGTAAAGACTGGATTTCAAGCTGGCAGCTGTGCTTTCCACATGGTCCTGATGAGGTGATGGAGAGCGGCTGGGGCTTGGCGCTGTGAGAGGCCCAGGGAGGCCACTATTGAAGGTCACCCATGAGTGACAGGGTCATGGAAATTGGATACTTGCAAATATCAAGACCTTCCACTGTGATGAAGTCACTTTTAACCTAGAAATGCAGGCTTGGTTCACCTTCTTTGGAGCTGTCTACCTAGTGGTGGAGTAGCTGGATCATTCAGATAGTTATAATTTTAGGTGTTTTTGAAGACCATGCACAGTGCTTTTCCCAATGTGTGCTCCAATTTACTTGGGTACCAACTTAACATCAATGTTGTTATCCATGATCCTTCTTAGCAGCTTTCACATGAAAATAAATTCTGAGACTAGGCTGCAGACAGCAGACAGGGAACCCTTGTGACTTTGTATTTTACCGTCACCATCAGAAAGTCTTTTGACAACGCAGAGAAGATCCTGCAGAGAAAAGAAGGCAGAGGCTCTACCTATGTGCATAGGTACAAACACATGCGTCCAGTGCAGTCCTGTCCATCCACAGAGAATAGAATCTTGCCAGTGACTATAGACAGGGTTATTATTTCAGACCTCGGAAGACAAGTAGTGCAGGATCTCAGCCATGGACAGACTCCAAAGAATTTGATTTCACAGAAGTTGAAGATATACATACAGGTGTTTCCAATGGCCTAGTTAATTTTTAATTTAATTTATTTTTTGTTTGTTTTTGCAACAGGGTGTCTCTGTGTAGCCCTGGCTTTCCTGGAACTCGATCCATAGATAGGGCTGGCCTTGAACTCAGAGATTCTCTAGCCTCTGCCTCCCTAGTTCTGGGGTAAAAGGCTAGCAAAAGCTCCCTTTTTAAGGTATAAAACAAGAGATCTATGTTTGTGCCCATTGCTTTTAGTATCGTGTTAGAATTGGCCATGCCCTAGGACCCAAGTGCTTCCCATGATCCTTCCTGGTCTTGTTTTGTAAGTAAGGAAATTCAGGGTTAGAGGCGCTGCCGCCACCGTCAGCACCTGGCTACTGAGAGACTTGGTCAGGCTTTGAGCTCAGATGGGCAAGGGCAGAGTTCCTATATTGACTTGTTTTCTCAAGACTTTACACAGATACCAGGGACTCTGAGGATAAAATAATAGAGGGGTTAGGGCTTAAACTTTAGGCTTTGGTGGGGGAGGTGTGTGTGTGTGTGTGTGTGTGTGTGTGTCTGTCTGTCTGTCTGTCTGTCTGTCTAGAGGGGAATTCCAGTGGTATGCCATACCTGGATGCTTAATACTTAGAAACTTAAAACTTAGGTGTTTCCAATGGTCCAGTGATAACGAGGAGAGATGCACAGGAAGTATTGTATTGATCAGTGGGTGCACGATGCAGTTGGGTAGGAGCAGGATATTGTCACACAGAATCGTGACAGTGTCTGACAGTCCTGGAAGACAGGCTTCTGAACATTTTGAATGTAAAAGTAATTTTTAAAATAACATCTTCAAAATTATTTAAAGACCATGTAAACTATATATCTAGTATTATCTAACAAAGGGAATAGCAAACATATAATCCTTCATTAATATGTAAATCTCTCATTTTATAAGTTAATATAAATAGTAAAATATTGCTGCCATCATAGATCATTTTGAACATTATATACTAAGATAAGAAAGACAGGAGAACTGAAATGTGGAATTTAAAAATAAGAGAAAAATAAAAAGGTAGTGCCATGTACTGATAACACTAGACCTTTGAAGAACAATGCATTTGGGTCATGAGTTCAAAGCCTGCTTTAGGAGCATAGGAGATACATGAGTCCCTGACAGAAGGAGAAAGACAAAAAAAAATTAGAATTACATTTAGTGTACTAAAAGGTTAGGCTCACATTTAGTGTATTTAAAATATTCTAATGCTGGTTTTGCTGTTTCAAAATGTGTAAAATTCTTGAAATTCCATTTAATCTCTGAACTCTCCCTTTCTTCTCCCCTCGGCTCCTCGAGCCCGTGTCCCTTGGTGCACTTTCCTTCTTCACCAGTGAACTTAGTGCAGAATCTGGGATCTCATCCCAGAGCTGCCTCTGAGTCTGCATCTGTACTGCATTTCAGTTTCAGGGTAGAGTGTGCTAAGTGTTGAGAGGTAGCTGCTGAGGTCTTGCCCTGTGAGAATGTGCAAGATGTGTGTGTGGCACATAGAGTAAGCATAGCACACTAAATGCATGTTTTTGTTCATGCCTAGGTCTTACTGTATTTCACAGAATTGTATTCATGTAAGTTCATTAGCTCTTATGTCATTCTTTTTTCTTATAGGTAGGGATAATTCAGGAGATAATATAACTTCATTTTGAAGAAGAATCCAATTAACACAACATACCGGTTTCACAAGCATTTCACCTTCAGCAAAATTTATAATTGTGACTACATATTTATTGACTTTGGTATTTATATTATTAATTATCCTATTTAACTAATTTTTGATACTCATTTATTTTTATTTCAGGAACTTCTGTCATTCCCAGATGTGGCCATTGATTTCTCTGCAGAGGAGTGTGAATGCCTGGACCTTGCTCAGTGGAATTTGTATAAGGAAGTGATGTTGGAGAATTATAGCAACCTCGTGTTCCTGGGTGAGGATCTCATCCATAGTGAATTATTTATCCATTGTCAACATGTGACTTCCTCCATTTGTAGAATATCTCATGGGAGATTGTGCTTATGATTGATTTACTTTCCTTCCTTCCTTCCTTCCTTCTTCGCTTGGATTAAAGGCGTGGCCACCACCCTTGCAGCTGATTGCTTAGTTTCCTATGCCCATATTTAAAGGACAAATTAGGGGAATTGTCAGTATAGCTAAGAAACATTTTCTTTTTGTGTTTCTAACAGACTTGTTATCAGTGTGTGCATCCTATAGTGGCAATGTTAGAAGCTCAGTGGCAGAGCACATGTGTTAAGGAAAACGTCCCACCCTTCAGCTTTAAGACTTTTCCTGGTAATGAGGTTCAGGATCTGTAGATTGTAAATCACTCCTAGGAAGCCTGCCTTTCAGGAAATGTTTAGACATAGGATTTTCCACAATCATTTATCATCTCTTTCCTTGTAAGCACAGAACTGGGGTTCACATGTTCATTTCCAGGAGTAAACAACTAAGCATCTTGTTCCCCTTTCCAAACAGGTCTCTCTTTCTCTAAGCCATATCTGGTCACATTTCTGGAGCAGAGTTCAGAGCCTTGGAGTGTGAAGAGAAAATCAGCAGCTGCCAGCCATCCAGGTGTGTCAGAATGAATGAAGTTGAGCCCACAAATGACAAGTTAATGTGTAAAGTGTGTATTGAGCTGCTATAGCTTGGTGAACATCTCTGTCACATGGCTTATCCCACATGAAGTTTACCCTGATAATTCTCTTCCTTCCCCTCCAGGAGGCTTTGTGTGTACAGTAGTTGTCAAAGTCCTTTATTTAAGTCGTTTTCTTGTATCTTTGTGTGTAGTGTTTGTCTGTACTCATATTTGCACGTGGTTGGATGCTTCTGTGCATACAGGTTCACACACACTTATGTGCTTGAGGAGGGTCAAAGTTGAGGCTGAGAATCTTCTTGATGGCTCGTCTAGCTTATTCATTGTGTCGGGGTCTCTCAGTTGAATTCAGAGCTAGTCTCCTTCGTCAGTTTGCTCTAGGGATTTCCCTGTCTTCACCGTCCAAGCCTGGAATGACAAACAGGACAGCATGAACATGCCCACCCCACATTTACCCAGACTCTGGGTATCCAAACCCCAGTCTTCATACTTGTGTGGGATGGAGAAGAGGTGTTCAGACTTGTCTTCAATGCCCTTTACCTTCTGAGCCATCCTTCTGTTCCTATAATGTATTCCTATGAGGGTTGGGTTTATTTTTGTTTTCTGTTTTTGCCACACACTCAGTGACACGAATTTAAAATACCATACTTTTATAGGTATATAGTCATAGCTGAAAACTACACATCTAGATACGTTTTGTTTAGTAGATCTTTGATACTCTTTAAAAATTTTATGGGTCCTAAACTCATCCTCCTTTTTTCTTATATTATATTATATGAGAATATGGTTAGCTGTACCCAGGATATTCTTCTAGATGACACTACTAGTTACTGTATTCTTTAGGACAATGTAAGACATTAAGATACCTATGCCTTAGGTCTATTGAGAGTAAAACTGTTATCATTTGCTTATAAAAATATTCCTGATTTCAAGCCATGTGTATTTTCTCTCTTTATTGGTTACTCAATAGTTGTAACTGTATAAATTGGTGTTCCCAGAAATTGTGCAACTTTTGTATTTATTGACAGACATGTTCTCCTTAGCTGAACTTATGCCACTTCTAAGTGAACTAGAAAGTTTTTCATAATTTGATTTTTTAAAAGTATATATATTATTGTTGGTAAAACATAACACTCTTAAATATTTCATGTATATTGTTTAAAACTATTATGCAGCAAATCTTTTCAAGATTTTAGAGCTTTGAAAGTGAAACTGTATGATTAAAAAATTGTGTATTTCTCCCTCCAACCAATCTATTACAATCACCATTGGCTGTTTGACCTGTGTTCCAACTTTGAATTTTCATGTAAGACCAAAAATACAATCTTTATATAGTGGGCTTATTTCCTTTAGTTCAATGCCCTTTCAGAATTTTTTAATTAGGTATTATAACAAGTTTGACTATTTAAGGTAAACAGTTTTCCATTATTTGTTTGTTCCACATTGTCTTCATATTCTCAATTCAGTGGTACATTAGTTTGTTTATGGCTATATTTTGTAAATGATACTACTGAGAATGTAGGTGTGAATATGTCTGTAGTTTCCCATTCATGTGATCCTCATATGTGTCAAAATATAGTCACAATTTTAAAGTATTCATATTAAAATTGAGCAGTATAATTATAAAAATATGGTGGTATGCTTGTACTGATACTTCAACCCTTTTTCAACAGGATCAAAACCCCATAAATGCAAAGAATGTGGGAAGGCCTTTGATAGAAACTCAGTCCTTATTCAACACCAGAGAATTCATACTGGAGAGAGACCCTATGCATGTGAAGAATGTGGTAAATCTTTTAACTATTCTTCCAGCCTCAAACAGCACCAAAGAATTCATACCGGAGAGAAACCGTACAAATGTGAAGTGTGTGGCAAAACTTTTAGCTGTTCTTCATACCTGGGTAAGCATCAAAGAATCCATACTGGAGAGAAACGCTACAGATGTGAAGAGTGCGGGAAACCTTTTACTAATTGTTCAGGCCTTGTTGTTCACCGAAGAGTTCACACTGGAGAGAAACCCTACAAGTGTGACGAGTGTGGCAAGGCCTTTAGTGTTCGCACAACACTTTCTAAACATCTGATAATTCACACTGGAGAGAAACCGTACAAATGTGAAGAATGTGGAAAGACATTTAATGTTCACTCAACACTTTCTAAACACCAGAGGATTCACACTGGAGAGAAACCTTACAAATGTGAAGAATGTGGCATGGCCTTTAATGTTCGCTGCATTCTTTCTAAACACCAGAGGATCCATACTGGAGAAAAACCCTACAAATGTAAAGAATGTGGCAAAGCTTTTAACTGTTCTTCCAGCCTTCACCAACATCAACAAATACACAGAGGAGAGAAACTCTACAAATGTGACGATTGTGACCAGGCATTTAGCTGTTCTTCTTATCTATATAAGCATCGGCGAATCCATAGTGGTATGAAACCCTACAAATGCAAGGAATGTGGCAAGGCCTTTTACTGTTCTGTAAACCTTATTTACCATCAGAGAATTCATACTGGAGAGAAACCATATAAATGTGATGAGTGTGGAAAAGCCTTTAGTGTTTGCTCAAATTTTATGAAACACCAGCGAATACATAGTGGGGAAAAACCCTATAAATGCAAGGAATGTGACAAAGCCTTTAATAACTGTTATAATCTAATTCAACACCAAAGAATTCATACTGGAGAGAAACCCTACAAATGCAAAGACTGTGGCAAAGCCTTCAATTATACTTCAAGCCTTGCTCAGCATGAAAGAATTCACACTGGAGAAAAACCCTACAAATGTGAAGAGTGTGGCAAAGCCTTTAACTCTTCTTCAAACCTTAAGCATCATTGGAGACTCCATACTGGAGAGAAGCCCTACAAATGTGAACAATGTGGCAAAGCCTTTAAAAATTGTTCAGGCTTCACTCGACACTACAGAACTCATATCAGAGAAAATTCAGATTAGTGTAGACACTGTCTCAGAGCTTTCAATAATTGTTTATTGATACTTCAACACTAAAGAATTCATATGAGAGAGAACCCTTACAAATGAAAGGAATAAGTTTGAACTTTAGTAACAGTTCAACCCTTATTCAGCATCCAACATTTCATCCTGGAGAGACCTTGTAATGGTGAAGAAGATGATTGTGTTGATCATCAAAAATTTACATCTTACAGAATCCCGACAAATGCAAATAATGTGGGAAATTGTCATTAACCATGAGTGAATTCTAATCAAAATTCACACATGCACAATGACTTGGGAAGGAACAGTCAAATATGTAACACTGAGAAAAGCAGAGTGAAAAGCATTGTGCAAGCAGTGTTGCAAGACTTTCCTCACCATGGAGACTTTGAGAGATATAAGGGAATGATCACAGACAAACTTTCATGAAGTCTATGTGTAAAATTTAACAAATCATGAAATACTGTTTATAATTCTTGGTGGAATAGACTCTCATTACAGACTTTGGAATCATGAAGATAACTCAAGTCTGTGAGGATATCAATATGTCATAAATCCAAATTATAACATAGGCTCAATTTTGAAAAGTGTGAAAATCACAACTGCTAAGTAATTTTAGAAGAACATGACCGAGTCCTGAGACTTGAGAGTCTGTTTTTTTTTTCCTCCCAGAGACTATACATTATTGGAATATGAAGTTTAGTGAGTTTTGTAAATAAAAGTAAGCAGTTCTTAAATACATTGTCAATGTGGTGTATAGAATTACATTCGGCTATAGATATTAAAATATCTACCTTAGTGAGGTATGATGGCTAATCTTGGTTGTCCCTTTTTTGTTTTTGGAGACAGGGTTTCTCTGTATTGTTTTGGAGCCTGTCCTGGAACTCACTCGGTAGAGCAGGCTGGTCTCGAACTCAGAGAGATCCACCTGCCTCTGCCTCTCAAGTGCTGGGATTAAAGGTGTGCGCCACCAACACCTGGCTTTGGTTGTCCTCTTGACACACCCAGGAAGAGGGAACCTCAATTAAAGAATCACCTCTATTGGATTAGCCGATGAATGTGACTGGTACATTTTCTTAAGTACAGTTAATATAGGAGGTCCCAGTCCACTGTGGACTATACTAGCCCTCGGCTATGGGCCTGGGCTGTGTAAGAAAGGTAACTGTAAATGAGACTGGAAATAAGCCAGTAAGTAGCATTCTCCAGGATCTTTGCTCAAGGTTCCTGCCTTGGATTTCTTCAATGTAAAATGAAATAAACCCTTTCTTATCCAAGTTGCTTTTTGGTCATGGGGTTTATCAAAGTAACAGTGAAACAAACTAGAACACAAGGGATCTAGGTAACATTTTAATGATATACTAAATTATAGTTTATACTGGGGATTAGTGAGATAGTTAGTCTATTCCCAGTGTTAATGTGTTTCAGGTAATTTGTAGCATATTGTCTTTTATGTTATATTATTCATCCACTTACCAATTACTTTTATATCATGTGTTTTATAGAAATAAACTATAGAGTCCCCTTTTTGACTCATGTATTTCATGTCAAATTCTATCAAAGGTTTTTACTGTAGAATCTCTTTACTGTAACAGTGTGCACACAGAAAGTAGTCATTAATATCAGCTGAAATATGCAATTATAATATGAACTTTGGCACAGAGAGAACTTGAAATAGAAGATGTTTTAGGTTTTCTATTACTGTGAAGAGACACCATGACCACGGCAACTCTTACAAAGGACAACATTCAATTGTGGTGACTCCCTTACAGTTCAGAGGTTCAGTCCATTATCATGGTGGGGCATGGTGTTCAGGCAGACATGATGCTGGAGAGGTAGCTGAGACATCTACATCTTGAAGGCAACAGGAAATAGACTGTTTTACTGGGTGTGGCTTGAGCATATATGAGACCTCAAAGTCCACCTCCACAGTGACATACTTCATCCAAAAAGACTATACCTCCTAATAGTGTCACTTCCTTCGGGGGCCATTTTCTTCCAAACCACCACAGAGGTAAATTCTAAAATAGTTGATTTCTCATTATCAAACATTCAACCACACATTCTGAAACACAGGCACACCCCTGACCTTCTTAAGAGCTTATTTCTCTGAAATAATTGCTTTTCAGCCTTTTTATGCTAAATCTAATATTGTTAGTCTTGTATCACATAATACATTGTTTAAAAAAGAAGGAAGATTTTGTTTACCAATTATGTGCTTTTCATGGGGTCTAATATCATTTAATAATTTTCAGAAATTGTCTTAAATTATGATACCAGAGCAGATATACTAAGATACACATTCATTATTACATACCTCTCCTTTTTACATATTCCTCCTTTTCATTTTGGTAAGATACACCTTCATATTTGATGTTTATTGAGATGCTATATTGAGATGAACACTGGGAAAGCTTCATATATATTATTGTTGGAGCCAACAGAAACAAAATAATCTTCCCTAGGAAGTAAATCTCAGAATGGGATTCTTGCTTTTTGAAGAAGAAAACTGATGAAGAAATGGTGTGAAGACAACTGTAGTGCTACTTCTGAGCAAACCCTGAGCTTTTGGAGACAACGTTCCATTTCCTAGTTATCTTACTCTTTTGTTGTTCATTTAACCTCCAGCTACATGTGCAAAACAGCCATTGTCCTTATAACCAACATCATGGCTCTCGTTTTCTCTTCTTCCCACTCAACTTCATCTTATCAGAAATTTTAATTTCTGGTATGTACTTTCAATTTCTCTAATATAGGGGTAGTTTTATTTAGGTATTCATGGCATTCTTCATTTGTAAGTGCTTATTCCTAACTGACCCAAAGTAACTAGTTTTGTGTGCTGTACACTATGACTTTGATACATTTGTTAATTATATAACAAATGAAATTTGCAGATCTTGCTCCTCAAACATTTATGATTTTCATGATTAAGGATATTTAGGGTACTTCATACTATTGTGTTATGGATTGCTGTCAATATCCTGTAATGATATTGAGTGCTTCCCATTTGTATTAGATATCAGCATGTCTCATTTGGAGAAATAGGTCCTATATGCCCAATTTTAAACCGAATTATTTGACTAGATTTTGTTATGGTGTTTGACAACACTATCATCTGAATTAACCACTGAATGATTCATTTTGGACAAACATTATCAAATTCTAGAATGTTATGAATGCACATACTCCTGCTACACATTGTATAGATTTTAGCTATTTCTATCAGGTAATCTTTAGGGAAAAACTCTTTAATGATGCTTCTCCAGAAGCCCAAAATTACAGTTTCTTTTCACTCTTCCCTAGTCTTCATTTACATTTTGTACTCTACACTGATGGCATTTTTCTTTGTGATAATATATAAAATAATACTGCCTTTGTAGCATTCTTTATTATAGAGTTTGCTTAAAGCACATGTGTTTCGAGTTTTTAGCTTCCATTGTTTAGGTTTTTGTTGGGTGGAGTACCACATATACCAAATTTATTTTAAACTTGCTAAGTAACTAAGGATGACCTTAGACCTCTGATGTTCTCCTGTACCAGATGCTGGAATTCCCAACATGTAAAACCATACTTGCTTTTATGTGAGCACCCTTAGTTTGAATTTCTAAATACTCAGACCATAAACAGTTTTTCAAATACTGTTTGCACTTCACATTTTAAGAATTGTCTTTTCAGAATATTTTCCCATTGTTTAAAAATCCATGGATTGGTATCTGGTGATTGACCCCTGATTCCTCTAATGATAAAATTCCCTCAGATCACTCATGTTCTTGATGGGCCTTGAGGTTGTTATTCCACTGGGGGTCCTGGGCAGGATATTTAACATCTGTGGCCAAACCCTGGTAGAAATGGGACATTTCCTCCCAAATGGCCATGGCAACCTGCCTAATCACATCACCATCCTCTTCCCCTAGGAAGAGTATGTCCTGGATCAACATCTAGTTTATTCCATATTCTTAGAAACATAATTATGAGGCCTTTGCATTCAGGGTATAATTGCTTTTCCATCCTGAGCTGGAGGTATCGAGAGACATTCAAGGCAGATACCCTTGGTTTTCAGAACACCTACTGAGGAGCAATTTCAGGACCCGGGAAGACACTGGAATTGAACATACTGAATGAAGCATATGCCGCTTGTCCACCGAGGGGGTGTAATCCTCCTCCACTCTCAAAATGGATTCTCTCAGGACAGGGTATAGCTTGAGAACCCCTTTTAAACAACATGTCAGAACTCTGAGTGGGGCATAGGCTCATTTCAACACTTCTAATCACATGGCAGATGTCACGAACCACGTTCAGGCTTGTAGCTGTCTACTATACTTCAACTGCTAAACTCTTACGTACTAGCACTTAGGTAGAGCGGTGTGATAGAACTAACTTCCCAAATTACAAGCTTAAATCAGGCCTAGAGCTTCCATTAATCTGTTAAACTCCTGGGGTTTTCCTGTGAACTCTACTAAAAAAGGAATGCTCTTTGTTCTTGCTGGATCACCTCCATATTCCAGCCTCCGCATTGTGAATGGCCCTCATTTATCAAAAGACTTGATCTCCCAAAACGTGTCTCTGAGCATCTGTACACAGAACCTGAGAAGAATTTTTAATATCGAAAATACCCTCTAGCGGCTAAGTAATAGTCCCCGTAGTCACATAAAACAGACAACCACAGAAAGTAAGACGGAGCACAGCTACTCTCTTCTTGGCAAAGTCTTTAGACTTAGTACCAGGAGACACAGGACATGAAGTTTGGAATAATTGTGAGAACTTCTTCTGCCATGAAACAATCTCCATTGACTACAATGGAAACAAAGTAGGAGGAAATGTGAGGGTATTGGGGTATTGTGAACAGATGTTAGACCATTTCTGCTCTGTTTAGCTTAGTTTGAATTATGAAGAGAGAGGAAATAAAGCCATTTTTGTGTGTTGGGATGAATTAATCTTGTTGACTCAGGTGTTAAGATTGACTCTATCAAATTTAATAGCACCCAGAAATCCAAAAGCAAGCAGGGAATTACCCAGATGATTGTCAATCTGAAACTCGAGTTTTCAGGAATGTCAGTTTTTACCTGGAAGGTGAATTTAGGGCTGAGTCTAAAGGGAAAAAATAACTCTATACCTGTATTTGAAAAGTTGTCTTAATGAAAAAAATATTTGTTCAGCATCATTGTAAAGAATAAAGGTAAACTGAATGGTTCAATTAAAGGCTACTGAGAGAATTTCAAAAAAAGAAAATACCCTTTAGCAAGTAAGTTTTAAATCACAACCTACAGACTCCAAGGTAAGCAGTAAATCTGATAAACATGGCTGACAAAGATTCAGCTCACATGCAAACATCTCATTTTGAGAACCCGAGATTTTTAAGGCGGCAGCCGGGCTCCCTGTGACTGCCCACTTGCAGACAGCGCTGGTTTCTACTCATTCTCTACTGCAAGCAGTCTAACCCTAACCCTGGAACTTGACACACCACCTTCCCTGGCTTCCTGGCACGCGCTCGCAAAGGATTGTGGGAAATGTAGTCTCGCCCGCGGCAACGTCACAGACAAGGACTCTGGGAAGGGCGCTTCCGCGTTCCTTCTGCGCCTGTGCGTCTCTGCTCTCTGGCCTTCTTCTTCAAAGTTGAGCCAGTGTCGCGGGCCCTGTGGCGCTCTGGTATCATCTCTGACATGGAGGTTGGTCCAGGATGTAGCGCAACCAGAGGGTAGATGCGGGATGGGCGGGTCCGGGTTGGAGGGAGCGGACCCGGGGTTGGTGGGAGGGCAGAGAAGTTAAGTGGGAGGTGCTGAGAGGACCCAGACTGGGCCCTTGCCTCTGGATGCAGGTTAGCACTGGGGAGAGATGGGGATGGAGATGGTGCAGGGAGTGTAAGGAGGAGGCTGCCTTAGTCTGCCCTGACTGCTGGGACAGGAACTGGCTCTGTAGCCCAGGGGTGAAGAAATGTGATAGGTGTAGGATTTTGCCCCTGCAGGGTTCATCTGCTGACAGCCACTACTAGACAACACTGTCTTGATTTGCTGCTCTCGTGAAGTTCTTGGCCTATCTGGACTAAGTGGAATTTCTGGGCCCTCCTGCGCTTATAGCGTGCTAGAGTTTTCTCTGAGGGCTGTTGGTCTATTGGAAATGTGACAGTTCGACCCGACACAATCTAGTGTCACTGGGAAGAGATACTCAGTGACAAATTGTCTACACCAGGTTAGCCTTGTGGATTGTCTTAATTACTTAATTGATGTGGGGTGACCCCACCGCACTGTGAGCCTCACCATTCCCTGAGTTTGGGTCCTGGACTGTATAACAATGAAGAAATCGAGCTGAACCCTAGGAAGCTAGTATGCATTCCTTCTCTCTCCATTATGCTTATGTGACTAGCTGCTTTAAGTTATTACTGCCTTGACCTCTTGGCAGTGATGGATTCTAGTCTAGAACTCTGAGCTTTTTACCTCCTAGGTCTTTTTTGGGGGGTGGGATGGAGAGAGGTTATTTTATCTCAGCAACTGGAAATGAGATTAAAACAGGATGTTAGTCCCTATCCATTATTATAATTAAAATATTTTTAGAATTCTATACATGATTATTGTATTTACATCATTTTTATTTTTCTTCTCCCCTTTAATTTCTCCTGTTTCCTCCACTTCCTCTTAAATCCATGAATTCTTATCGTTTTAAACACACAAGAAGCGCCCGAGTGTGTGCACGCACTCGCGCGCGCACACACACACACACACACACACACACACACACACACACAAATACAGTCTGACAAGCCCATTTGATGTTGCTTGCACGTCTTTATGTCTGATTGCTTAGGATTCTATGACCTGTCAGAGATTAATCACTGGAATAGATCCAACACCCACTTTGACACCGGACATGCATTTGTGACATGTACATACATGCAGGCAAACACCTGTACACATAAAGTAAAAATAGATAAAACTTGAAAAAAAGATTAAAATAGTTCTTTCCCACTGAAGAGATGGTATAGCAGTTAGGAAGGCCTGCTGCTCTTGCAGAGAATCTGAGTTCAGTTCCTAGCATCCAGGTCGGACAGTTGACAACTGTCTGTAACTCCAGTTCCAGGGGACTTAATGCCTCTGGCCTCTGTGGGCACTGCACTCATGTGCATGCACCACACACACACACACACACACACACACACACACACACACACACACAGAGGCACATGCACGCACAGGCACATGCACATGTGTGTGCATACACACACACAATTAAAAATAAATATTTTTTATTGGAGTCATTTTCCTGCGGGGTCACATGCCAACAGCATAGAATGCGGTGGTAAAATTGCTCCCAGCGAATGATTGAGGGGTTTGGGAGTCAGTGTGCACACTGCTGTGGGCTTTTGAGGTGCCATATACTGTGACCATTCTAAATTCATTTGAAAAAAAAATGATCTTTACCTTTTGAGTCACTTTTCTGGTTGCAATGACAGACTACCTCATAAGATCAATTTCGGTAAGAAAGGAATCACTTTTGCTTAAGTTGTCTTAAAGTCTGGGGTCCAGTCCATCATGGCTGGAGAGATGGTCCAGGGAAGACAGGCAGCTGCTGGTGCTGCGTCTGCAGTCGTGAACTGGAGAGACAAACGCTGGTGCTCCGCTTGCTTTCTCAGCTCCGCCTGGGACCCCAGCACATTGGATGGTGCTCCCTACATTCCCATTCGTTCATCCCACCCCAAATAATGCAATCTAGAAACTCCATCGCAGGCACACTGAGGGTTTGTCTACTAAGACATGCTACAGCCCATCAACTTGACAATACTGATCATAACATCCTTTTTACTCTATAAAACTTTGATTGAATTTTTAACCTTAGCTGTTGTGTAATTAGCTTCAGATACAAACATTTCATAGCTATAGAATGATCTATATCATATTCTTATATCTTTTTTCCCCTTACTTTTCATACTATGAAATGTTTTGTTAAAAACTAAGGCAGAAGCACAGATTTGCCCAGGTCTACCCAGGGTTAGGCCTATAATCTAATCCCTTGGGAAAGTGAGGCTGGAAGGCTCCCATGACTTTGACATCATCCAAGGTAGGCAGTGAGTTCCAGGCCTGCCTGGGTTGCATTCTGAGGCCTTGTCTCAAACCGAATAAGAAAGCAGTAAAGATTTCATGCAGGAAGTCTGTAATTGGGTCTGGTTTTCCTTATCTGGTCATTCATGCTGTTCACTTTATCATTTTGATGCCATTGCCACATTATTCAGACTTTCCAAGTCCCTCCGGCACCCCGGCCACTTATACTTCCGATGAGTGTCCCAGTACAGAATGTGGCTTTTCTGTCTTCGTCCCTCTGCGCATGCTTCCCATCACTCTTCCCAGCACGTGTTCCGGTTCTCTGCTTGCTCTGCGCATGCTTCCCCATCACTCTTCCCAGCATGTGTTCCGGTTCTCTGCTCGCTCTGCGCATGCTTCCCCATCACTCTTCCCAGCATGTGTTCCGGTCTCTGCTTGCTCTGTGCATGCTTCCCCATCACTCTTCCTAACACGTGTTCCGGTTCTCTACTCGCTCTGCGCATGCTTCCCCATCACTCTTCCCAGCACGTGTTCCGGTTCTCTGCTCGCTCCTGCTTTTCCTCTTTTACTTCGGTTTCCTTCACACCTTCCTGTTCACAGTGATTTCAGTTACTCATGAAACTCTGTTACTTTCCAGACTGTTTCATTTCAGCTGAGATATTTCACCTAGATGAATCTGGAATCCTGAATCTTATTGATTGGCTGGAAATCCCATATATCAGATCTTACATAACCTATTATGTGTTAGTCTTTTAAAAAAGAATATTTTATTAAATTTTGTGAATTTCATACATGCATTCGATGCATTTTGATCAAATCCAACCCCTCTCTCCCCACTTTAACAATTCTAGGCATCTCTTAGAATGTCCCCCTCCCATTTTTCTGTTTGGGTGTTGTTTCGTTTTTTTGCTTCTTTTTTAAAACACACCGAGTTCACTTCATGTTGCGGTAGTGTGCATGAGTGTGGGGACATTTCCTGGATAATGGACACTCCCTGATGACATCTCTAAAGAAAAATGAATCTCTTTTACAGTGGTCATCAACTCTAGTAGCTTCTCAGCTATGGGTGGGGCTTGGGAGTCCCTCTCCTTCCCCGGTTGGAATGTTGACTGACTTACATTTTGTAAGTGTTTTTCAGGTAACTACAGCTGCTCCTGCATACACACACACACACACACACACACACACACACACACACACACACTTTGACTCTCTGACTCTCTCTCTGTCTCTGTCTCTGTCTCTCTTCCCCCCACACTGTTTTGTGCTTTGTTCTGGGCTTTTGACATAACTTCTTGTGTAGACCAGGTTGCCCTCAAACTTGCTATGTAACTGATGGTGACTTTGACTTCTATTCCTCCTGACTCCTCCTGCGTGCTGGTATTACGGGTGTGGGGTGCCTGCTCACTTTTCTGTATTTTTAACCCTCTGTGCACTATGAAGATGGTCACCTGTCACTTTGTTCTTCCTTCATGCCTTATACTGAAACTATAGCCTGTTAAGACAGGACCTAGTTATGACTCTAATTAGTTTAGGAAGTGGCAGAATCCCACTGGGGATTGACAGAACATTTGAGATGTAGGAAGGAAATTTGGAGGTGTATGTGTATGTGTTAATTCATAAGTAACGATCAATGAGAGGTGCTTAGCATTTTGTTGTTGATATTATATCCAAAATATTCCATCACAGCTCAACATGGTTGATCAGACATAGTGCCATGTTAAATTTAAAATGTGTGTGTTGTTTGTGGCTTCACTGTTGGATTTCTAAAGTTGCTTCATAATCAAAAAATTAGTTTTGAGAAGAAAGTCGTCTAATAGGCACAAAAGCATGAAAGTGGAATGTTATGGTCAGAGGTGTATAATATGGAAATATTGCTTACATTTTGACTATCTTATTAGTTAAGCATAAGTGTTGATTGTCCTCTGCTAACAATATTCATTGATGTCCAGAGGTATTTATGATCATTCTGCTTAGAGGTAAGAAACACAACTTGTTTCATCCATGGTATAGTGGGTAACACAACCAAGAACTGCTACCATCCACCTGATGACTCTCCTTAATCTATTAGGGATCTCCACTCAAAGTTGATTCTTTGATTTTGCCATAAAGAAGAATTTCAGGATGAGCCCATATGAAGCAGAGTTGGATTTATTAAACACAGAGAGTTGGGCAGTCAGGGAAAGAATAAGTCACCTCAGAAAGCATGAATTTCTCATAGGAGTATCTCAGTAATAGCCATGTGTAGCATTTTGGAGGCTCTCAATTTAGAACTCAAAGGGTTACTGAGGAACCTCCATTGAGAAAATGCCTCCATAAGATCCAGTTGTGGGTCTGGGAACTGGGAACTTGGATGTTTTGACCTGTTGCGGCTTTGTTACCTCAGCCTAAGAGTCCCATTTAGGATTTTTGATAGAGAAATGTTTGGGATTCTCACTCCTCAGTTGGACTCATGAATGGAAAGAACTGTGATCAATAGGGTCTTCAGATGCTCCTTTCTCCACATAGGCATCCTTTTCCCAATCAGTGACATTGACCTCACTGTGAAGAGGTTGGGAAAAAAACAAAACAATGAAACAGGAAGCCCCTGCGGAGTTGTAATTAGTTAATCTATAAATCACTTCTGACCTTCTAGGATTAATAATCTTATTTCTGTATTATAATTTTTGGTTGAAGTGGCTTTGGAGAAGAACATGTAACCTGAATAATTTAAGCAATATTACCAAGTTAGAGTATTATTTACATCAATTATTGACCTCAATTATCTAAACAGACTTTTCTAGCATTTATGTCTACAATAATGACCAAAGGCATAAGTGCTATTACTGATTTTTTTTAACAAATAAAGTTCTGTATAGTCTGAATTTAAATCACAGTAATTGTGGGTGGTTTCTGTTAATAAATTTCTGTTAATACAAAAGGGCAAGGCAAATGTAGCCAACTTAAGTACCATTAATCAAATAAAGGAAATTGTCTAAGTGTAATATTTTATTCTGAAGCCCTGCCCAAGATTAAGAATTGTCAAAGTGGTGCAGTCTGGTAAATACATCAGACTTAAGCTTAATTCCATAAAGCTTATTTTCTTTTTTCAAAAAATGTATGCATAACTAGCCTATTACTTTTAATTATTCCAACTATTCTCATTTGTGAATACCATAGTCTCATGAGTAATTATAAATCAATGCAACCCTATTGAAAATTCAGTGTTCTCTTGCAAGGATCATGTGCCCTATGTATAAGAGGCTGTGGCTGAAAAGGACCACAGCTAAGAACTGGTTATTCTGGCATCATTTTGTCCAGGGAAATCCTGATGGCTTTGACAGTAGTTGTTTTGTTACTTTAGAAAAGATAGAGAGGAGATGGATTACATAGGTACTGAGAAATAGTAAGTGTACATGACTGAACATTCTTAAATGAGATGGGGTAACTGGATGAGACTAATACCATCTGGTGGATTTGTGGACCACACTGGGGTCAGTGATAAGAATCTGAAGCCCCCAGTGTGCTCCTCCATAGCTCAATTCTACTTTGTCCACATGGTGTAAATTAGGCTGGGCGCTGGGAACACAGGTGTATCAACCTGTTGCTCTTTGTCTCCTAGGACTGGCAGTTCTTGGCCACAGCCCCATATCTCCACTGGGGTTTCAGGTAAAGAAATGTTGGATTCTGTCTCATAGGTGGGATGTATGGGTAGAAGGAGCTGTGGTCCATGGGGTTTTCAGACTTTCTCCACATGGTCACCCATTTACCACTAAGTTTTCTAAATACATCACACAGAAAATCTCTTATCTAGGAGTTCTTCCTTGCAGCATATATCTTCCTAGGGCTTGGGATATATTTCTACAATTTTAGTTTTCCCTCTGAGCTCCAAAGTGCCTAAACATCCTGTGCAGTTCGCTTTACTATCTACCCTTTCTTGTGCTCCATTTTCCAGATCAAGAGAATTTTAGAAGGAATGGATGAATTTCTAGACACCGATGATGTGATACAGACTAGGACTAGTGATGCCACTTAGTTGGTAGAGTGTTTGCCTACCGTGCATGAAGTCTTGGGTTTGAGTCCCAGTATGCCATACAGTGGCATTCTTCACAGAACTAGAAAAACAATCCTAAAATTCATATGGAAATATAAAAGCAAATGAAAAACCAAATAGTCAAAAGAAATATTTAGCAGAAAGAGCAATTCAGGAAGTATATTACAATACCTGATGTCAAATAATATTATAGACTCATACTAACAAAACCAGCATGGTACTCCACAAACATTGACATGTATGTAAACCAATGGAATAAGATAGAAGACTCAGAAATAATGATTTAACTTTTTTTGAGATTGTTTCATTATGAAGCCCTGACTGTCCTGGAACTCACTCTGTAGACCAGGCTGGCCTCAAACTCCCAGAGATCTGCTTGCCTCTCCCTCCTGAGTGCTGGGTTTAAAGGTATATACCACCAGGGTCCAGTTAAACCACATAATTTTTGACAAAGCTATCAGAAGCATATACTGGGAAAAAAAAGACAACGTCTTTAACAGCTACTATGGGGAAAACTGTATTTCACATATAGGATAGCATAGGAAATAGTCTCTTGAATGAACTTGAATCCCTTGGGATATATAAAATTTAATCTTAACTAGAGTGTAGAGTCAACCTACAAAATGGGGAAAATCCTTGCTAGTGACATATCAGACATAGTTCTGTAGTAGCTGTAATATTAGTAGTACTGTGATATTTTGTACTCTTTGATGGGGCCTGCCACCCAACCCCCAAATAAATCACATGGAGGTTTATTCTTAGAAATGTCCAGCCTTAGACACCCACAGATAAACATTGAACTGAACTGCTGGAACTCAATGACAGAGAAGGAGGAATGATGAGCAAAGGGGTCAAGACTGGGCTGGTGAAACCCACAGATACAGCTGACCTGAACAAGGGGGATCTCTTGGATCCCCAACTGATGACTGAGAGGCCAGCATGGAACTGATCCAGACTCCCTGAATGTGGGTGTCAGTGAGGAGGCCTAGGCAATCTATGGGGCCTTGGGCAATAGATAAGTGTTTATCCCTGACATACAAATGAATTTTGGGTGCCCATCCCACAATGAGGGATGCTCTCCCAGTCTTGACTCTTGGGGAAGGGCTTAGGCCCTGCCCTGAATGAAATGACAGACTCTGGATATCCCCCATGGAGGACTTCACCCTCCCTGGGGAATGGAGTGGGGGATTGGGTGGGGAACTGGGGGAGTTGGGGAAGGCAGGGCAGGAGGGGAGAGAGGGAGCTGGGATTGACATGTGAAGCAAGCTTGTTGCCTTAGCTTGGCTTTGCTTTTTTTTTTTTTTTTGCCAGCTTTCGTCTACCTTTTGCCTTTGATTTTTGGGACATTAACTTGGGGCTAACACCTTGAAACAGAACCATGAGGCAGAGAAAGAGAAGGGGAAACGGCATGAGTCTTTTCAAACCTCAAAACCCCTAGTAACACACCACTTGGGACAAGGCCACACCTCCTAAATCTTCCCAGATCTACCAACTAGCAACCAGGTATTCAGAAATTTCGGAGCCATTCTTATTCAGACCTCCACAGTTTGTCATGATGAACACATCTATTCAGTAATTTCTAGCCGTGTGTACATAAACTGCACAGTATCTTCATCAGTAAAACGTGAAACAAATATTTCCAAAACGCATGATGGAGGTGGAGTCCATAAAGGTCAGCACTATACCTTATAGTCCCTCAGTCCTACACTCTGTTTTTATAATTGGGATACTGGGAGCTGCGGATGACATGGTAGATACTCTGAGGCGGTGAGATCTCATTGATTCAGAACAACCCATGGATCAGGTTCCCCCACAATCAGCTCCAGATTTATGTGTCTGGGTCTAACTGTTCTTCAGCTTAATCTTGGGTTCTCTTTATAGTGGGAGATAGGTGACTTGCTAGCCTTGAAGAATGTAGGGACTTCTGTACAGAGCCCCCTTTGAGTCTTTCCATATCTCCCCACCAAATACATGAATATTTATCTATTGCTGGAGTTTCTGTCCCGCCAGGTCCCACTGCCCTTCAGCCCCAAATAAGCACACAGAGACATATATTAATTTATAAAACTGTTGGCTGAGAGCTAGGGCTTCTTACTGGCTAGCTTTGTCTTAATTATTAACCCATTCCTATAAATCTATATATTTCCACGTGGTCTTGACTTACCGGAGAATGCAGACCTGTTACTCCTTTGGTGGTTACATGCCGTCTCCTCCAGGACTCTCTCTGCCTACCTTTCCCAGAATTCTCCTTGTCTCCTAGTCCCACCTATCTCCCTGCCTCTATTGTCGAAACAGTGTTTTATTCATCAACCAATAAGAGAAACAAATGTAGCGAAGGACATCTCCCATCATTTATCTCAACAGGGCGGGGTGAGAAGAAAAATGAAATAAACTCTAAAATGACATCTAATTTATTTTATCTATTTAAAAAGCACTGTACTTTTATTTTTTAAATATATAAATTTGTTAAAAAATCTTCCAGTTCCTTTTTATCTATGAATCCTTTCCTTATTGTTGCCCCCTTGGATACTCAAACAAGTGTCCCTTGATGGGCTGTCATTTACTTCGGTACTGAAGTGGGTACTTACTCAGAGACTCAACCCTTCCCCAGGAGCTACTGCATCCGAATCTGCATTTCCATTTCATATGTAACAGTTGAGAAGTGCCACTCTAACTCAGTGTAACTTTCTCCTATGAGAAATGTCTGCAACACCAACATAGCATTTGAAATGCATATTGTATTCATTATCCTTGAAGATGGATAATATATAAGATACTATGAAAAGTATCTCATTTACTGACTACTACTCTTTCATTTTTTGTAAAAAATCGCATTTCTAACCATATATTATTTATGTATTGATATTAAGCTCCCAATTATACTACTTGATTAAATTAACATACTGTTCATCTATTTTCATTTCAGGGGCTTCTCTCCTTCAGGGATGTGGCCATTGATTTCTCTGCAGAGGAGTGTGAATGTCTGGACCTTGCTCAGTGGAATCTGTACAGGGATGTGATGTTAGAGAATTACAGCCACCTTGTGTTCCTGGGTAAGGATCTTATCCATAGTGAATTCTTAATTCTCTGTAAACATGTAACTTCCTCCATTTGTAGATTATCTCATGGGAACTTGTGCTTTCCAACAATGAGTTTCCGATTTTGCATTATAACAATTATTTCACAATTTTACACATGCGCATATGTACATAGACTAACCCACCCTTATCCTCTGACCCTTTCCACTGACCCCTGTTGATGGACCCTGTCTTGTGAAGGCCCTGTGCAAGTGATCTTCACTGTTTTGAATTTATGTGTATAATAGCCATGTATTGTTTAGAAGACATTCTCAATAGTACTCTTTCCAGATCCCCCAACTGTTAGATTTTTTTCCAGCTCCTCTTTCGTAACATTTACTGAACCTTAGAATAATTTTTATAGATTCCCATTTTGTGTTGGAAACTCAAAACTATTCTTATTACTTGGCCAGTTATGAGTCTCTATACCAGCTACTACCAACTGAAAGCCACAGCTGCTCTGATAACACTGAGAACAGCACAAATATATGAATATAAATGCAAATATTTAAAAGTCTGTTTGACATCATGTGCATATTATAAAACAGCTGTAGGGCCTAGGACCTCCCCAGCCCTAGCTTTTAGCTAGGTTTACAATACCAGTCATGAGAGATTGTTTACTTGTAATAGTCATGTCACATTTATGCCAGTGAACACATCTTGCCCAGTAGTTTGGTATTATGTAGGCAGATTTTTTGGGGACCTTCATCTCCCCAATAATGATGGGGAGACTTATTATTAATTCTGACAGCTCAGCTGATAGCTTAGACTTGTTACTAACTAGCTCTTATAACTTAAATTAATCCATTTTTATTAATTTACTTTCTGCCTCTTGGCTTTATTACCTCATTTCCATATTACTCATTGTGCTCGCTCTGTGTCTCCTGATGTCTCCACCATTCTTCCCAGGGCTCCCTCTGTCCCCAGAATTCCCGCTAACCTCTTCCTGCCTAGCCATTAGCCATCCAGCACTTTATGAAACCAATCACAGGGACTCATCACACAGTGTAAAGGAATATTCCACAACAGTATTATAGTTTTCAGGGCTCACAGATACTAACTTTTCTATCCCCCAAACCTTCGCATCACCACTCATCCTGTGAAAGCCAACCCAGTCAGAAGAAGGCTTCTAACTCCCTGAAAACTTGATGTATCTTTGTCCTGCAACTAGAGGGTGTGATACCTTGGGTAACTGGACATATGATCTAGTCTTTTGGGCAATCAAGAGGAATAGAACAAGCTTACATTGCTTTGGTGGTCTCTAGCACACCCTGAGGGAAAATTCATAAGAGGTATTCTACCTGTGTGGTGGAACTTAAAAAAAATAACCTATGTCTTTTGGGAACAGTAGTGTTCATCCATGCAGGGTACATTCCTTTAAACCTTTAAATTATACTTTAAATTAGTTTACAGAGTAATAGGATTCTGTATGGCTTTTTAAATTCTTTCTTTTAGCTAATCCTCTCCCCAGGTACTGGATTCACCACCACGCACATCCATCTCCACTCATCCATCTCACTGATATTGCTGCACCCCAGCAATGCCTGACTCTACCTTCATATCAGTGTCCCTTTTCTACCTGCCAGTCTGCTGTAGGTACTCCGAAGGAAACAGAGAAATCTGATTCAAAGCTAAGATCCACACATGATAGGAACGTCTGACATTTGTCTTTCTGGCTCTCATTTACTTCACCCATCCATTTACTTGTAAATTGCACAACTTCGTGTGTCTCTTTACCTGTGTAAAATTCGGTTGTGTTTATATAGAACACATTTTCACTGTCCACTCATCATTCTTTGGATATGTAAGCTGATTCTGTTTCCTAGCTGTTGTGAATGGAGCAGCAGTGACCATGGATATACAAGTGTCTCTGTGGGGAGATGGAATATTGGCAGTGTATGTTCAAGAGGGATGTGGCTGGGTTAATGGTAGTTAGGAAGCTTTACTTTAAGATTTTTGAGAAATCCTTCACCTTGGTTTCATAATGGCTACACCAGTTTACACCCCTACCACCATTTAAGTGTGTTCTTCTGTACATACTTGCCAAAAAATGACAGTATTTGTTTTCTTAATGATGGCCTTTTCAATTTAGGTGAGATGGGATTTCAAAGTAGTTTTAATCTTCATTTTCCTGATGGCTAAGGATGACAAACACTTGTAAAAATGTCAGCTGTGGGTTTATCTTTTTTGAGACTTCTGTTTGGTTTCAGAGCCCATTATGTTATTGGGTTGTTTGTTAATGTTTACTCTTTTGAGGTGTGCTAGTCACAATATTTCCTGCCACATGTATAGCTTCTGGCTATCCTCTCCTATTCCGTAGGCGCCTTTTCATTCAAGTAACAGTTTCTTTTGCTTTTCAGAAGGTTTTTTAATTTCTGAAGGTCCACTTCTTAATTGTTGACCTTCTTCAGTGACCAGAGTCCTGTTCAGAAAGACCATATTTTTTTTTTTCCTGCTTTGAAGTACACTGTGTTTACCTCAAGCACTTCCATTGAGATCCTTGGTCTATATTGATGTTGATTTTATTTAGTTTCATTCTTGTACACATAGACAGCTGGTATTTTCCATACCACTGTGGAGAGCCTTCTTTTCTTTTCTTTTCTTTTTTTATATTTTATTTTCCAGTTTAAATTTAGATAAGAAACGAGGTTGCTTCACAAGTCAGTTCCAGGTCCCTCTCCCATTCCCTCCCCTCCTCCCGTTCCCTCCCCCCAACCCCCCATTTATCCCCTCATTCCCCCAGGGAGGGTGAGGCCCTCCATGGGGGTGTCCATAGTCTGTCATTTCATATAGGGCAGGGCCTAGACCCTTCCCCAAGAGTTCAGGGTGAGAGTGCACCTCACATTGTTCTATGGGAGTCCAAAGTCCGTGTGTATACTTGGGATGGGTACTGATCTGCTGCCCAAGGCTCAATAGATTCCCTAGGCCTCCTCACTGACACCCAGATTCAGGGGGTCTTGATCAGTCCCATGCTGGATTCCCAGGCTGATGCCTGGGATTCAAGAGTTAACCTTTGTCTGGTCAGCTGTTTCTGGGGGTTAAACCAGCTCAGTCTTAATCCCTTTGATCATCAGTCCTCCCTCTCTGTTACTGGCTTTCTTGAGTTCAGCTCAATACTTAACCAAGGGAGTCTGCCTCTTCTTCGATCAGCCATTAAATGAAGTTTCTGTTTCCCAGACTCTCTGGCCATAGGATTGTAGGCTGGCACTCCCCAGATCTATGTCTAAAATCCATATATGAGAGAGTACATGCCATGTTTCTCTTTTTGTGACTGGGTTACCTCACTCAGGATGGTTTCTTCTAGTGTCATCCATTTGCCTGCGAATCTCATGATTCCGTTATTTTTTTCTGCTGAATAGTACTCTATTGTGTAGATGTACCACATTTTCTCTATCCACTCTTCGGTTGAGGGACATCTAGGTGTTTCCAAGTTCTGGCTATTACAAATAAAGCTGCTATGAACATAGTGGAACAGACATCTTTGTTGTATGAATGGGCATCTTTTGGATATATGCCTAAGAGTGGAGTTGCTGGGTCTTGTGGTAGGTTTATTCCCATTTTTCTGAGGAATCTCCATACTGATTTCCAAAGTGGCTGAACCAGTTGGCACTCCCACCAGCAATGGAGGAGTATCCCCCTTTCACCACATCCTCTCCAGCATAAATTGTCATTGGTGTTTTTGATTTTAGCCTTCTTTTCAATGTGAATTTTTGGAATGTTTGTCTATACTAGGTAAGCTGTAGTTTGGTGAAGTTACATATAGTTCCATTTCATTCCCTATATCTGTTTTTGTACCAAGTATATTCTTGTTATTACTATGGTTCCATATTAGGACCTGAATCAGGTATGGTTACATTTCCTACAATATTCTTTTGGTCAGTATCATGTGGACTACTGAGGCTCTTTTGTGCTTTCATATGAATTTTTTTGTTTTGGTTTTTCGAGACAGGGTTTCTCTGTATTGTTTTGGAGGCTGTCCTGGAACTCGCTCTGTAGACCAAGCTGGCTTCAAACTCACAGAGATCTGCCTGCCTCTGCCTCTTGAGTACTAGGATTAAAGGTGTGTACCACCAACGCCCGGCTGAATTTTACAATTTTGAAAAAATTTTCTGTGCATAATGGGCTTAGAATTTTTATTGGAATTGTGTGGAATACTTACATTGCTTTTAGTGGAATGGTCATTTTTACAATATTAAGTTTATCAATCCATAAGCTAGGGAGTTTTTCCGTTTCAGTATTTTCTTCAATTTTTTCCCTTCAGTTTCTATTCATTGTGATTTAAACTTTTCATTGTAGAGGTATTTTATTTCCTGGGTTAGGTTTATTCCAATGTATCCTCTTTCCTTTTTCTTTTGGTGGGGTATAGGTTTGGTGAATGAGAATTTTTTTTTATGTATAGGCAGATACTGATTTTTTGTTGATATTTGTATCCTGTCATTTTGTTGAAAGTGTCTTTTAGATCTGCTTGTTTTTTTTTTTTTTTGGTGGAGTCCTTGGGGTCTTTTATATAGAAAGTCAAATTATTTGTAAATAGAGTTACCTCTTGGAATAATTATGTAATTTCTGTCTTTCAGTCTGCTCATATAGTAAATTGCATTTTTTGATTTATGTGTATTAAACTATCCCTGTATATAAGGGATGAAGTCCAGATGATAATAATGATGGTCATTATGATGTCTTTTTGCAAGAATTCAGAAATTTTGCATCTATGTTCATCAGAGATAGTGGGCTGTCATTTTCTTTTTTTGTCTTCCTCCCTCCCTCCTCCTTCCTTCCTTCCTTTCTTTCTTTCTTTTTCTTGTACCTTTATCTTGTTTTAATATCAGGATCATATGTTCAACCAAAATTAAGACAATGTAAGATAAATAATTTAAGCATATCTACAACAATGAAATTGAAGTAATAATTTAAAAAACCTTCCAACTTCAAAAAGCCCATATCCAGATGGATTCATTTCTACCATTTCTACAAAACTTTTAAAGAAGAAATAAAAGTAATTTTGCTCAAATTATTCCATAAACTCCCTTCTCAAAGCCATATTTCTGCCTTAAGGAAAGCTTAGGGGAAGTTGTAGTTGTAGCTGATGAAGTTAATTACAGTTTTTGTGTTTTCATCCTACTTGCTTTGGTAGTGTGACTCCTTCCTTCTCCTTGGAATTTTATAAATTGAGACACATGAATTATGAAGCATACATCTTAACATAAATTATTTTACACAACAGATTTAATTTCTTTTTCTTGAGGTAATGCTCCAAGTACTGAATATATCTATCAAGAAACATTTAAAGAGATTGTTTTCTGCCATCTTTTTTTCCATTTCCTCTTTCCTTATAAATACAGTAGTGATCTATAAATGTCAGCCCTAGAGAATGACATGCAACCATCACACTTATCTTTCCTTCTAACAGGTCTTGCTTTCTCTAAGCCGTACTTGGTCACATTTCTCGAGCAAAGAAAGGAGCCCTGGAACGTGAAGGGACCAGGTCCAGTTTCTGCTTACCCAGGTATGTGGGAATGAATAGATCAGAGCACATAAGAGAGAGATCCAGTGATGCTACAGAAAGACAGGCATCAAAAGCTGGATGGATGGATTGGAGACTATTTCAGGGAAATTGGTTATTGAGAATGCTCCACTTATCATCTCTCAAAGTAGAACATTTTCTGACATGTTTATCATGCTTTCATTTCCTCAAATCTGTCCTTCCATGATGGTGATGTCTATATGTATTTATACTTACTGAAGTCTGTCCTTTTGCAGGTGAAGGTCTGGATCATTACAGACTTGTCTTTGCTTTCTATGCCTCAGAAACTTGCATACAATTCCAGTGACTTCTGTGTCAAGCCTTTATAGCAAAGTGTTCCCACAAATTAATCCCTCTAATTATATTTGCATGCTCAGTATTTAAAGTTGTCCCATCAGACTTCTTTTTAAGTAATTATAGTGTATTTCTGTGTTTTTTGCCATACATTTATTGTCAATCATTTATGATGCATTGTTTTTGTGATGTGATAGCAAAACATTATACACAGGTAGATGCAGCAGAATATTTGTACACTGTATGAAGATGTATTTCTGTGATTGGTGTAATAGAGATCTGAATGGCCAAAAACTAGGCGAGAGGTATAGGTGAGACTTCTTCAGTCCGAGAGGACTCTGGGAAGAAAAAGGTAGATATGTCAGAAGACACAGAGCAAGCAGGGTATGTAGGAGAAGAGGTAACAGCCACAAGCCACATGGCAGAATGTAGATGAATGTAAATGGGTTAATTTAAGTTATGAGAACTAGTTAGAGATAAGCCTACAGTATAGGCTGAGCTTTTATGATTAATAAGAAGTCTCTGTGTTATTATTTGGGAGATGGCAGGGCAGAGAAAGACTTGGTAAAGAAAAGGGGGAAATGTTGTGAGATGTTTTGGTTGCATTCTGATGCTTCTAAGACTGCCAAGAAAGTTTGCTTTAAATCAGAGGGCAGAGTCTAGCTCACCAAAATTAGCCATAGAGGTTTTGGAGGACTGAAACTAGATAGAGATACACAGGAATTAGTAGCCAGGTCTGAGAGAGCATCTTGGCCCCTTTTGGATTGAGGAACAAGAGAAAGAGGAGGTCATTGATGGCTTCTCTGCTGCCTCTCTATCAGGTTATTACCCTGATACCTGACTTCCATGTTTTTATTGATAAAGAATAGCTAGATAGCCGGGCATTGGTGGGGCATGCCTTTAATCCCAGTACTTGGGAGGCAGAAGCAGGAGGATCTCTGTGAGTTCGAGGCTAGCCTGGTCTATAGAGCAAGTTCCAGGACAGCCTTCAAAACAATACAGAGAAACACTGTCTCCAAAAACCAAAACCAAAACCAAAACAAAAACAAAACAAAAAACAACAAAAAAAGACTAGCTAGATAAATGCTTCAGATAGGTAAGTAGTTTTAGTAGCTTACCAATATTCTTTCAGAATATTTCTGAACTTGCAATTGCATTTTGTGTGTTTCACTTTTGTATAGGCTCCTTCATATCTATTGATAATGTTCTTAGATGTAACTTTCATTATGATTGGATGACAGTTTTTAGCAGTGGCTTTTAAGGACATCGTAAGATAATAAAATGTCTATAAGTCATATGACTAGTTTAAAATAAAATTGATGTTATTTCTTCTTGTGTTAAATAGTAGTTCTGTATTTTCATGCTATGTGTATTTGTGCTTCATTGATTACTTAATAGTTGTTTTATCCTAAGTGAATATTTCTAGATGTTATTATAATTCTATAAACAATTGATAAATATGTTGCCTCTACTGAAACTTCTGTATTTAAAGGTAAATTTGAATATCTTAAAATCATTCAATAGCGTTTGCTTATTTTAACTGAGGTTAAAAACATATAATATGAAATTTCCTGTCTTAAATATCTAGGATATGATTTAATACATTCAAATTATTATGCCACAAATCTTTCAGAAATAGCTTAGCTTTCAAAACAGTAAACATAGGAAAATAATTTCATGTTTTTGTCCATTCCATCTAGTCACCATTCAGACGTTCTATGAGGTTTTCTATTTTAGAATTCTCATGTATTTCTAATCAGATTGTACCTGTCTTATGTAATTGGCATATTTCATTTTGCATACTGCCCTTAGAGAGTTTTCCTTATCATATGTATTTCATTATTGCTTACTTTAAATGTGGTGTGTGTGTGTGTGTGTGTGTGTGTGTGTGTGTGTGTGTATGTGTATGTGTGTGTCTTCCAAAGGCTTCTGGTTCATATGAAGGACATAAGACAGCTTACAGAATTCAGTTCCCTCTTTCCACCATGTAGGTCCCTGGGAATCAGTTGCCTTTATCCACAGAGTGATTTCACTGGCTTGAGAGCACTTTTGAAATTTTAAGTAATATTTCATTGTTTTTCAGTGGAACTTTGTAGTGTTTCACTTATTATATTTTTGATTAATACTGCAGTGAATACAGTTACAGAATCATGTTTATCTTCCCATTAATATGAGAATAAATTGCATTTAGAACTGTATCTATGGATGTAAGGATTCATATGAAAGATAAGCTTTATAATTATAGCTATGTGGTTAATCTTTTACTATATTTCCACCTTTACTCAACAGGAATAAAACCTTATAAATTTAAGGAATGTGGCAAGACCTTTCCTTGGAACTCACTTCTCATTCAACACCATAAAAGTCATCCTGGAGAAAAACTTTACAAATGTGAGGAATGTGGTAAGGCCTTTAATGTTCGCTCAACACTTTATAAACACCATAGAATTCATACTGGAGAGAAACCCTACAAATGTAAAGAATGTGGCAAAGCTTTTACATGTTCCTCAAGCCTTAACCAACACCACAGAATTCATACTGGGGAGAAGCCCTACAAATGTGAATGTGGCAAAGCTTTTAATAATTCCTCAGCTCTCACTCAGCACCAGAGAATTCATACTGGAGAAAGACCATACAAGTGTGAAGAGTGTGGCAAAGCCTTTAATAACTGCTCAGCCCGTACACGACACCAAAGAATTCATACTGGAGAAAGACCCTACAGATGTGCAGCTTGTGGCAAGGCCTTCAATTTTCCCACATCACTTTCACAACACCAGAGAATTCATACTGGAGAGAAACCCTACAAATGTGAAGAGTGTGGCAAAGCCTTTAACTGTTCTTCACATCTTAAACAACACAGAATTATTCATACCGGAAAGAAACCCTATAAATGTAAAGAGTGTGGCAAAGCCTTTAACTGTTCTTCCAGCCTTAACCAACACCGTAGAATTCACACTGGGGAGAAACGCTACATATGTGAGGAGTGCGGCAAAGCCTTTAATAACTGCTCAGCTCTTACCCAGCACCAAAGAATTCACAGTGGAGAGAAACCCTACAAGTGTGAAGCGTGCGGCAAAGCCTTTTATAACTGCTCAGCCCTTTCTCGACACCAGAAGATTCATACCGGAGAAAAACCCTACAAATGTACAGATTGTGGCAAGGCGTTTATTTTTCGCTCATCCCTTTCTCAGCACCAGAGAATTCACACTGGAGAGAAACCCTACAAATGCAAAGAATGTGGCAAAGCCTTTAACTGTTCTTCACACCTTAACCAACATGGAAGAATTCACAGTGGAGAGAAACCTTATAAATGTGAAGAGTGTGGCCAGACATTCATCTGCTCTTCATACCTCCATAAGCACCAGAAGATTCACACTATTGAGAAACTCTATGAATGCAAAGAGTGTGGTAAAGCCTTTAGCTGTTCTTCATACCTTAAGTACCATCAGAGATTTCATACTGGGGGAAAATCTTACACATGCAAAGAATGTGACAAGACCTTTAGGTCATCTTCATACCTTAGGAATCATCAGAGGTTTCATACTGGAGAGAAACCGTATACATGCAGAGAGTGTGGCAAAGCGTTTGTTAATTCTTCAAGTCTTCTTGTCCACCAAAGAATTCACACGGGAGAAAAACCGTACAAATGCAAAGAATGTGGCAAAGCCTTTAGGTGTTCTTCCTATTTTAAATATCATCAGAGACTTCATACTGGAGAGAAACCCTACACATGCAAAGAATGTGGCAAAGCCTTTGCTAAATCTTCATGTCTTATTCTACACCAAAGAATTCATACTGGTGAAAAACCCTACAAATGTGCAGAGTGTGGCCAGGCCTTTATCTGTTCTTCATACCTGAGGAAGCACCAGAGAGTCCATACTGGAGAGAAGCCGTATACATGTGAAGAATGTGGTAAAGCTTTTAGCATTTATTCAACCTTCACTCAACACCAGAGAATTCATACAGGAGAGAAACCTTATAAATGCAAGGAATGTGATAAAGCATTTAATAATCATTCAGCCCTAATTAAACATCAAAGAATTCATACCGGAGAAAAACCCTACGCATGCAAAGAATGTAGTAAAGCCTTTAATAATAGCTCAAGCCTTATTCGCCATCAGCGAGTTCATACTGGAATGGACACTCTAGAAGTTCAAGGATTGTGGCAAGGCCTTTAGTAATAGTTCAACACTTACCTCCAAAAACTCTGGTAGTGAGAAAGTGAAATGGAACATAGGTGACAAATAAGTGTTTTATACATACACAGTATAAAAATTTACGCATGAAAGAAACCCTACGAGTTCAAATAGTGTTGCAAGTCTGGTAGCTTTTCTTCATATCTTAATTGATAGCAGAGGATTTGCATTGGGAAGCCCTAAAAATATAATATGTCAGGGCTTTTAATGAATGCTCACTCCTCATCAATGAATCCATGCTTCATAAAAATCTTAGCATTATTGACTTTGGAAGGAACTCTGTCTAATGTGTATGAGCAAAGTAGTGATGCTTGAAGAAATTGTGTAAACATAAAGAGTATAGTAGAGCTCATACCTCAGACTTAATGGATATGAGAATTACTATAGGTGGTTAATCCTATGGAGATATAGAATAATGTAAATATAAACTAAATGTTTCTTATAAATTATGGGACATTATTTGATGTGATAGAAATAAATTATTGCAGGCATCAGAATTGTGCACTTAACTCATCTCAGTAAGGATATGACTTTGTGAATGAAACCATATTTACTATATAGCCTCAAGTTTGAAAACAAGCTAGCACAACTCTCAAACTGTGTTAAAGAACAAGACTAGTTCCTGATTAATTTTAGTCTAGTTTTTACCACAGAGAACATATAGTAGGTATAAAATAGAGTTTGTGTGTGATGCTTACTTCTTTAAATAAACAAATTTGAATGGTTTGTAATGTACCGTCTCTGTTTTTATTGTACAACATATTCTATTATAGACAATAAGATATCCCACCTTACTAAGGGGGTTGGTGACAGGATTCAGTTGTATGCTGCTGAGAATTACTTGAATAGCTGGTCATTGTATCCCAGATGCTAGTGTCTTTCAAATGATTTGGAGGATATTATTCCATATGTTACACATTTGTTAATCCCCTTGTGGTAACTAGGAATTAAGGAGGCTAATTATGTTCTAGTTTTATGAATTTTATATTAGTATTTTATCAAATTTTACTATATATATGTGCCATTCTTTAAAACCCACTTACATTTTTGTTATTTAGTACACTGAAATATCCTACTCTTAAAATCAAACTGTAGGAATGAAGAGAATAGAGGCACTATATATATTTACTGTTGCTGGCCTGACTAGCAAGAATTGATATATCCTAAAAGAAATACCTATCCTCCTTTCTTTGTCTTTCAAGATATTGCAACATTGGTCCTCACAAAATTAGAGTTTCTTTAAGATTTGACTGGGAGGAGAAAAAGCCCGAGGGCACCCATGGGATGTGCTCACCTTTTTGAGAATGGCTTGGTTTGTCTGATAGCATTGATGGAAAGACTAATCTTGCAGGAGAGATGGGCTGTGACCATGTTGGGGGACAGGCGTCTTAGCTAGACTGCTTAGTTATGTTTCCCTTTTGCCTTCTAGTTAAACCCTGCCATTGTGTTCCGATTCTGAAGATGGACTAGCAAGTTAATGAATCTCTTTTTCCCTTTTCCCAGTGTGGCTACATTGAATAAATGTTTGTGGGCTTTATCTATCTATCTATCTATCTATCTATCTATCTATCTATCTATCTATCTATTTGGGTGCTGTTTGGCTTATTGATGGGTGACAGAACTTGGGTAGTTGAGATACAAGCTGTAAGAGGAAATGGGGATTATTGAAGTAAAAGTTAATTTTTAAATAGTTGACACTCCTTGGGAAACTACTAACCACACTTTTTTTTTTTAAAATTACAGGTACAAATCTCCCTCTTCCCTCTCCCTTCTTCCCTCCTTCTCCCCCCCTTTCCTGAAATTTCTCCAAAATGGCATGATTAATGGCTTTACTTCTCTTAATGCTAATTCTCATATCTTACACGAGAAATTATGCATCACCTAATATATCACATTGTCAAAGGTCACAAAATGTGATTTGGCCAGCTAAGTGCTTTTTGAATATTTTAATGTTATTTAATGGTTTTCAGAAATTACTTTGAAAATTTAATCCCATAGTTTCCATATTTTGACACATTGTCTTTCATCACTATATATTGTCTTTTCAACAAAACCATTTACGTAAATATGTACTTATTCCCATCAGTGTGGTATTGTACATCTTAAGATTCAGTAAGTTTACTGAATCAGTTTGATCAGGTGAACTGGGAGGGTTTCATATATCATAGGGGTCTGTGCAGATATAGTACAGGTACATAGGGAAAGGTTGCCCAGGTTTAGCAAGCTCCACAGGCACAGGGGACATGTTTGTCCTATTGGTTGATCAATAAAGCACTGTTGGACAATAGGGAAGCAAGGTAGGTGGGACTAGGAGTTGAGGAAGACTACATTCTGGGAAATGTAGTCAAGAGTAGAGGGTCACCATGTAATCCCAGGAGGAGAGGGCACAAGTCTGGTGTTCTCGGTAAGATAAGACCTTATAAAAATATATATTAGTAATTATGGATTACTAAGTAAGTCAGCACTAGCCATTAAGAAACCATAGCAAATGGCCAACAGCTTCATAATTAATATAGCATCCTGCGTTTTCATTTGGGACTGACGTGGCTCTGGGACCAGGCTATTGAGAAGAAAGGCTTGTACAAGGTACCTGCTGCATTCCAGAAACCCATTCTACTTAAGCAGGAATGAATGCTCCACCACCTACTCCCCAACTCTCCTTTCCCCCAACCCTGACCGCACCCCCCACACTTATGGTCTTGGTTAGGTTTTCATGTTGTAATCAGCAGTCTGTATTGTGCCATTGCTAATTAACACAACAATGCCTAATTATTGGTACTCATTATAAAAATTTTAATATTAAGGGAAGCCTGAGTTCACAAATGGCAGTAACATTTTGTTAAATATTTATTGAATATTTATAGTGTGGTTATTACAGAAATTTCATCTAGGGGCATTAATAACTATGACCTTGTTTTGCTTTATTAAGCATACCTGCCTGCAATTCAAGTAAAGTACATCTTTAGTTGCCTTCCACTATAGGGTATTATTAGCTACACTGTGGATTGGTATAATTGAGGAACTTTGTTCTGCTACACTCAAGATACATAATAATCATATCAAAGTAGAATAGAACTTCATCATAATTTCTACTCTTGTCACAAAGAATCCTTCTGGGGTTCATATTGCTTTGGACTGGAGTTTGTAACCAAACTAAAGACTATCTCCCTAAAGCCATCTCTCCCAAACATCATGTATTTGCATTTACATGCCCAAACTACTGTTAATACTAATAAGATAGCAACAGATAGGATGCATTTACTGTCTAGCACCTCCATATAGTTGACCAGTAAGGCAGAGTGGCTTCTTGGTTTCTAGTCATTATCCCCCTCCTTTGACCTGTCTCTCATAGCCACACAGGACCTCTACATATGCACCAGAGAACACAATGAGGCACTGACATAAGCTAATGCATGGACACACAGATATACACACTGCCACCACTTCAGAAAAGGAAAACCATGTAAACTGACCCCTAGCATTCATCTGTCTCTGCTCTCTGGCTGTAGACACAGATTGACCATGGTTTCAAGCTCTGGTTGCTATGCCTTCCCTGCCACGATGGATTATGGGCTCACACTGGGAGGGCATCTTGCCTTGTAGGTGGCTGTAACCTGCTATGTGGGTGCTGGGAACTGAACTCAAGTCCTCTGAAAGAGTAGCTATTGTTCCTAACCACTGAGCCATCTATCTCTCTATCCTGTGTAATGACTTTTTTTTTTTCGAGACAGGGTTTCTCTGTATTGTCTTGGAAGCTGTCCTGGAACTCGCTTTGTAGACTAGGCTGGCCTCGAACTCACAGAGATCCGCCTGCTTCTGCCTCCCGAGTGCTGGGATTAAAGGAGTGTGCCACCAACACCCAGCGTGTGATTACTTTTGTAAATACTTAACTGGAAAAATAAGAATATGTTTTCAGAGAACCCAGATAGTGATACATTTTGATTAAATAAATATTTTCATCTGTATTATCTCCTTTAAAATTGTTTATTTGTCATCTCACCCCACCCCATGATGTGTATTAGTGAATTTTTATGGTCAGCTCCCTTTGGGTGAGATTAGTAGAAGCTTTACCCAGAAGACAGCCTATATGTCATTAAGAAGAAAATCTATTCTACCCAAGTGAACAATTTTAGGTAGGGAAGCCCCTTGCAAGAACCCTTAACACATTTCTGCATGCACCATTCATTATATTATTTGATATTATTGTCTTCTTTTACATGTGAATAAGCCATGCATCATGACACTTATTTTACAAGGTACTCAGAAAAGGAGATCACACTTTATAGACTTCCTAGCTCTGGTGGGGAATGAAGTTTATTGAGTCGTCGTGTTTATCATGAAAAATGCTTACAATAACAACCATAGTAATTTAAATTCTAACTGTAGACTTCTGTTTTCAACTTGTGCAGGTAGAAAGAGAATTAATGTTACTATAAGAAATTCCAAGGGAATTAATGTTACTACAGGAAGTTCCTGAGATAATTCCTAAGGAAAAAAAGGGGAGGAAGGTGGCTGGCAGTTTCAGAATTTCCAGTTTATAATCAGCTTGTCCCATTGCTTTGTAGGCTGTGGGAAGTGTTGGGCCGTATATTTGGAAATCTATTCCACTCTGCCGCTAGTTCAGGAGAGCCTTGATTTCTATTGTCTTTAAGATGTCAGGTAATAGCTGCAGGATGTCCTGGCCTATCTAAATAACAATAGACTTGGACCAGGGTGAGTTTGCACTCACCCTGAAGACTGGATTTCAGGATTAAGGGAAATAATTGCTATCTCTCTGCTATACATGATAATAAATGTCTTCTGCCATTGCCCCCACCTTTGTATGGTTACTTAAGATGATGAATCAATAAATTAGGCACATTCAGTATTGACTGATCCTGCCCTCCTGATATGATCTTATGTCTCTGTCTTTTCTTTAATGCTGGATAGTTAGCCTTCCGTTATTCATACTCCCCCACTGAAGAACAGATCTGGGACTGTTTGGTTGTTTCTGATTGTAGCCCTGAAGACATCAGGCTGTGACATATGGCCCCTCAACACAGAGTTAATACAGACAGTCACCGACAGGGGAGGTACCCTACTGTGGTGGGAATGGATATCATTGAAACTACTCACTACATGGCTATGGAGGGGAGAGGGTTGAGTTCCCCTATCTGCTTTAAGGATATAGGCTCAAAGCCTCTGTGTCCACTTGGGTTTTCACATCCTTCCAATATTGCCATGGTGAAGCCCAGACCTTTACTACATAGAACTTTGCCAGTACTCATGGTTCAAGACATAGAAATCATATAATCCTAAGAAGAAAGAAACTGGGAAAATGTCAGTCCATGCCTTCCCATGGGGCAAACCATGTTGAGGAAAACATTTCCAGAGTGTGGTAGGAGCTGAGTGTTTATGTTCTGAGAAGTTGCTGCCGTATATCATACAAGCGGGTCTGAAGACTCAGACGCAGAGTGTTTGATCATAGTCTCCCCATCACTCTCTAACCCATTCATGTTCTCTGTCCCAATCCTCATTTCTGTGAGTCCACGTGTAAGTAACATAATGTAGTATTTTATCTTTTAAAAGAGGGGGAGAGTGCATGCTTTTCATTCCTTAGGTTCATCAAAGAGCTTTATGACTTTTCCTGAAGAAATGCAAACAAATGTCCAGCCAACACACAGAGGGCACTAATATAAGGTCAAAGAAAAGATTCCATCCAAGCTGTTTATGTTGAGTCCGTGAAT